CAGAAATGTCTTCTTTTGCCAGTCCTACCAAATTTTAGAAATATAAACCCATTGTTATGATACAAGAGGTTACGGCAGATTGACTTGAAAAATGTAACTGAAAATATATCCTGGTAAATACTGCGTATTATATGTGCTGATAATCTCAATAAAATTAAAAATACAATTATAAAACACTTTAGCACATAATGTATATCAAGTCATTAATTTATATTATATAAAGGATTGTAATTCTTATATGTATACCCACTTGGCCTTGTATTTGCAAAAGAACCCCAATATTAAAGCACTAGCTTTGAGATTTTATTTTATTCTATTTTATGAGCCATAAGCTATAGGTCATATTCTACAAGTGTGATTATAAGAGAATTGTGTGAGCTACATATAGATACAAAGATATATATAAATGTGTGTATTATTACAATTTTTTGCTAGATAAACTATCAAAGAATTTGTTTATAGATACACGACAATTTATTTTAAAAAAAATTCAGAGAAAGATATTATTTATAAATGGGCTTATCAATTCACATGCAGGTGATCAAATTACAAGGCGTATTCTTGGATTTCCTTTTTCTTTTTCTTTTTTTTTTGATCAGCAGAAGCACATTATCAAGATGCTTCAAATTATTTCTTTTGATAACTACAGCTATTTCTTTTATATTTTGTACAATTTTATATTCTTTACCAAATACTTCTTGTCTTAATGTGTCTGATTCAGTAGCTTTATGAGTAATTTGATAATCTTTGAAAGGAAGCAAAGAGAGTGAGAAATATATTTATGAAACTTGTAATATATGCATGCATAAATTTGTATTTTTTTCTTTAGTTGCCTAGTATGTATTTATTTTGATTGTCTGCATAACCCCCCCTCTATTATGTACATCACAACAGCTTTGCTTTATCTATCAATCTTCTAAGGCCTGGCCTTTATTAAACGGTGAATACTTTTATAAAATACTATAGCATAGCACTACATATAGCAAGAGTATGAGCTCCAGTTTGAGGGTTGGAAAAGCAAGGCCAGTGTTATGTTTTAAAAGAATTTATATGTTTTTGTTTTTTCAACTTGTGTGTATACAGTTATAATCAGGTCTTTTCCTTGAAGAATATGTGTAGACTCACAAAAATAGATGTCCAACTTGATCAGCACTATGCAGCGTGCATTCATTCTTGGCACAACATGCCATTGATAAGCATTTTCAATAGATTTTGTTAGACCAAATCTAGAGCAGTCTCAATATCTCCCTGTCTTTTTTTCTATAAGTATAGAGCAATTTTTGCAAACTTTGGTTTTCCTTTTTTTCCTTTTTCTTTGTACTAGCCGCGTCTGCTGGAGGGGTCGATAGAAGGCTTCTGGTAATACATGGGTTTGTGTCCGGCCGGTCATCGTTAATACACAGAAGCCAAGATGGTCTTCCGATAGCCATGAGTTTCTTTCTTGTCATGAATGGGTAGTCCAGGTATTTTAAGATAAGTATATGTATTTACATTCTACGCGCAATGAAACTTTGAATACTAATTAATCATAGCCTGTGGAGTTGGCGACTGTAAGAGTTCAAAAGACGTTCATAAAGACTTGGCAATATTATTTTGTTGAGCTTGTTGAACCGATTTTGGACTCTTGCGACCGACCGCTCTCTCTTTTTCTTTCTTTCTTCCAAAAGGACCCGATGGAGTAGTAGCCACGGGTCAACCATGGTCTATCGAGCAAGTCCCAAAGCGCGCGTGTAGCGTGTGAGCCCGTTGTCCGTATTCCCATGTATTACTGGTTGCTTTCTGTCCTCTCTTCTGGTGGGCGCGGCTGGTATCTTTTTGGTTAGTTCCCGTTGCTTGTTACCTCCCGTTGCTTGTTGCTTTATTATGCCTTCCACGGCGGTTTATGTTATTTCAAAGGTACTGTTGCTTGTTGCTTTTTTGTTAGTCTGTTGCTTCCGCCAGTGGGGTCTTTCTGCCAGTGGGTTTGTTGCTTCCCACTGGTAGGCCCTTTCCTCCTACCAGTGGACCTGTTATCTCTCGCCAGTGGACCTATTATCTTCCGCAGATAGGCCTTTTTATATTACGGCCAACTGCCCATTTTTCTTCCATTGTTGGCACCATTTATTTTTCTGGCCAATTTATTATTTCCACTGGCGGGTCCATTTATATCACTGGTAGGAGCCATTTATCCCACTGGCGGGTCTGTTGCTTCCTGTTGCTTCTATCAACAATCAATTTGCCTCTACGGCGGAACAAAATGGTTCCATTCCTGCCACAAAATTGTTGGCTATCGCATGCCTTTTGGGCACGTCGTCAAAAGCCGATACGGCTCACCAGAAGCCCAACAAGGGGCGCAAGAGAAAAGGCCAAACCGGCCAACAGTACTGGCCCAAGATGCGCGCCAGGTCAGAGGCCAATCCGGCCCACCACAAGCCCAACAAGGGGCACCAGAGAAAAGGCCAAACCGGCCGACAGCAAAGGCCCAAGATGCGCGCCAGGTCAAAAGCCGATACGGCTCACCAGAAGCCCAACAAGGGGCGCAAGAGAAAAGGCCAAACCGGCCAACAGTACTGGCCCAAGATGCGCGCCAGGTCAGAGGCCAATCCGGCCCACCACAAGCCCAACAAGGGGCACCAGAGAAAAGGCCAAACCGGCCAACAGCAAAGGCCCAATATGCGCGCCAGGTCAAAAGCCAATCCGGCCCACCACAAGCCCAACAAGGGGCACCAGAGAAAAGGCCAAACCGGTCAACAGCAAAGGCCCAAGATGCGCGCCAGGTCAAAAGCCAATCCGGCCCACCACAAGCCCAACAAGGGGCACCAGAGAAAAGGCCAAACCGGCCAACAGCAAAGGCCCAAGATGCGCGCCAGGTCAGAGGCCAATCCGGCCTACCACAAGCCCAACAAGGGGCGCCAAAGAAAAGGCCAAACCGGTCAACAGCACAGGACCAAGATGTGGTCAAGATCAGGGACAAAGTCCAAAATCAAATCAAAATATCTAGTCAAAAAAAAAAGAAAAACAAGGGAAAAAATTCAAAAAAAATTGTACTCATAATTATCCTTATCAAGTCAAAATTTATATATACTAGCACAATATCCAAAATAGTCAAGTCAAGATCCATTTCTATGTCCATGTCCAAGTCCATGTCCAAGTCCAATTCCTTTCCAAATGGCCAAACAATGTCCACGTACTGCTAGAGTACTAGTCCTAGAACATACATACATACAAGCATAATTTCTATCAAGTTCAAAATCTGGGTTATACTTCCAAATCTCAAGGCCAAGCCAATTTCCAAGCAGGGGTCCAATGCAAGTTCCAAACAAAAATTATTTCTTCCAATGGCAAATTCAAATCTCAGGCATCATCCTAAGTCCTGTTGGCTGTGGCACGCACACTACAATAGAGTGAAGAACAGACTCCACTACCAACCACTGGTTCCATCTTGCCTATGAACCTGGCACGTTAGCCATCTCCGGAACTATTACATACCAGGCACACGTGCACTACACATTTATACCGTGGAAACCAACCATTATACAACAGGGATCTGAATTCCAAGGGGTTTGAATGGTAACAGATATGAACAATATTACCTTGTCTCTCTAATAAGTAACACTCTCAAAGTATCTACTCTTCAAAATATTGAGATACTTTGAGAGTGTTATTTATTAGAGAGACAAGGTAATATTGTTTATATTTGACTATTCAAATCTTTTTTAATTCTTATCCTTGTTGTATGATGGTTAGTACATTGTATAAGTGGGTATTGTACGTGTGCCTGGTATGTAATAGTTCCGGAGATGGTTAATTTGCCAGATTTATTCGCAAGAAGGAATCAGTGTTTGGTAGTGGAGTCTGTTCTTCACTCTATTGTGGTGCTTACCTCACATTTACAATTCAAATCAAATCAACTCAAATCAAATCAAATGAAATCAAATCAAATCAAATCAAATCAAATCAAATCAAATCAAATCAAATCAAATCAAATCAAATCAAATCAAATCAAATCAAATCAAATCAAATCAAATCAAAACTGAAGGAACACTGCATTGGAACCTGGCTCTGGATCGAGGCGACGCTCCGGATTGGACCAAGACTCTCTATTACAATAAGCTGCAAAATCCTCTTTACATATATACTTGCAAAGCGAATGAAATATTTCTCAAAAAAAAAACCGGACTGGACTGGGCTGGACTGGACTATCATGGACTTGACTATCTTATATTCTATTTAATTTAATTTAATTTGTATTTAATTTGTAAAAATCTTTGTACACAAAAATCATTTACTTTGAACAATAAAATTTTCCCTTGTTTTTCTTTGATATTATATTTATATTCTTGTCTCTTTTTTTTAAAAAATATAAAAACCTATTAGTCTTTAAAAATATTATTAAAAAATAATATGGTTGACTGTCTTTACCTTTGTCTCTTTCCTTGCTTTTGTTAAAATATATCTATAACGGAGTATAGGGATAAATGTAACTGTTTTTGGTCTGGAGTAATTTAGACATCTTGCTGATCTTGAAGGTTCTATTGATTAAAAACTGTTAATCTAAAGACTTTAGCTCTTGAGAATGAAAATTGAATTGGAAACGTAATATTATATTGGCTTACATACCATATATCAGAAGAGTCGCTGTAAATATATAGCAATTTGTTCACTAGGATTCCCAAAGTCATTGCTATGATTGTAGAAGTGTTACATTATATAAAAGTCAGGCACAAATTTACCATTTATTTCATTTTCCAATAGCCAATAGCCAATAATTTTTCCATAGCTTTTTTCTTGTTAGAATATAATGCCATTAACTATAATTCATAAAAGTGACATGAATTATTACTATTTTTTCTTTAATAATATAGAGTTCTAAATTCATAAGTGAAAAAATCAAATCAATTTCTTAAAGTAGTTTACAGGTTAAGTTCGAAAAAGTCCATCTTTCAAAAATCTAGTCCGCAATTCTCACATAACAGCATAATGATAGTGCTTGTATGTTATCTATAACCAAAAATAAAACTATAATATACACACAGTAACTACTATATAAGTGATATATTTCTTATAGCTATTTATTGAAATATATATATATAGCTCAGAGAAGAACATGCTGAGTTTATCCAGGATGCTTTTTATGGAGAATATTAGGTAACCATTGAGATCACCAAGGACAAATTGTTAGACCAGTTTCTTGCTCTTAAGGGTGTAAACATCTTTATCTCTGCACATTAACAAACACATACTGACATATATATATATATATATGCAAAAGTTGGATTCGCACTACAAAAAACAAAACCTGTCAAAGAAAAGAAAAAACGCATCAGATTTGATCCAAAGTAGATTAAAGTTTGTTAGCATAGTCCAGCAACATTGGATATCTTACAAAACATGTTGTCTTTTTGTTGATAAATCTTCATCAAATACCAGCTTAATTAGGGGGAGAGGTTGATTAAACAAAACCGAATAAGCATCAAATATTTCAATTATTCTAGTTGTCTTCTATCAAGGTGTCGAATACGTTATGGCGAAAATGGTTGTAGACGATACAGACGCACAGCTATTCCTTCAATTTGCCAAGCAAATCCCAGCGAGTTTAGATAGAGAAAATTCCATTTCCTATTACTTTATTATGGACAATGTTTCCATACATACAAGCAAGCTTTTAAGCTATTTCTTACGCACCCACACAAGGCACAGATGTAATATCCTTCTTTTATATCGCTAATTCTTAAACCCCTCCTAGAGAATTGTTTTACAAAGAAAAGATTCGGTTAAAAGAAAACCAGGTCTCACTGCTGATCAAGCTATAGAATGTATTAGTATTTGTAGTAAGTAATCTTTTGGAGACAATTTGTGAAGGTCAGGCTGATAAAAACATCGATTTTTTCTAACTGTAAACCTTTTCAAATTAAACCTGTGTCTACCTCAGAAAATTGATTTGATTTTCTCATTTTTGAATGCAAAAATCTGTATAATAATGATTCTGTTGACGATTTTTGGATATTTTACTCTGTGCTCAAATACCCAAATCTAATCGGTATTAAATTTGAAAGACCTTATGAAAAAAGTTCCATGACGTAAAATAACTTGTGATGAAAGACATTATCAAAAAGGCATTCTATTAGTATCAATTATAAACCAATTCTTTCATCGTCTAGAAAAGACAATCATATTTTTGGGATCTTTCAATGAATATAAGCTTTTTTTTTATTTTACGACACTCTTTAAGATTTTGGCACAAAAGTAGAAAGAGCTAAGGCTACCCTTAACCACTGTGATACATACTTGCTGATTCGTCTCAACAGCTAGCTTAGCGTTATGTCTGAATTATTGAGGCTTCTATAGGTAGGTTTGATTTACTTAGCTAGGAGAGAGCCGGTTTCTAACATATTATGTTTCTCTTTGTCTTAGCCGAGTTGCATATCAAAAACCCGTTGTCTTATTGAAATTGACATTATTCTAAATAAATACACATCATTAATATGATTAAACATGGATTCAGCCAACTTGTACCTCTCCTAGCAGTCAAATTGTAGTCATAGCCCACATCCACCACAAATACTGGAGCTTATTAATGTCGGTATAGACACACAAGTCTTTAAAAGCATTTTTTTTTTGCTTTAACCAACTTTTATTCCTGGGACTAGAATACATCAAGTTTGATGGATCTGAACCGATGAAAAGCGGAAAACTCTCTATCAACATACCGCACTGCCAGTTGAACATACTTATACTTAACAGTATAGTAATGGCAATGTTAGCCAATTGGTCTTAAATAACTAAAAACAACCGATGTGATAAAAACAAATATCAGATATGCTTGGACGAGACAGAAATAATAAATAGATCTCTTGCACGGGAGATTGGGGAGTACGACATTGAATATGCTCAGACGCTCTGTAAAGAGTTTATGAGCAATTGCATTTCTGCTTATAATACTGTGAACAAAAAGGTGGGTGGCTTCAGTAGGATTTCTTTAAAAGAATATGCCTAAGGGTTTTAAGGGTGTGTGGGCGGATGTGTATTTTAAAGTATAATTTTGGTTTAATGATGCTTCATTCTATATATATCTCTTTCCTTTTCAAATTCTTCTACTCCTTTGCTATTTCTTTGTTACTTCAGCTAAACAAGTGAAGCAATATCCTCCTTTCGTTTATTCTCTTGTATCATGATTTTTAATGTTTTATCCTTGTAATATTCTGAAAGAATAATGAACTATTAAGAACCAAAGAAATCTTGGAAATCAGATCTTGACTTTAGAGACTTTTTCATTCGATTCAAATCTGCTGTATGCTATTGTGTTAATAAAAAAAAGCTCTATCGAAAATGTTGTGGTGATTGTGGATATTTAGAGGATTCTAGTATTTCAGAGGATTTAAGTTATTATGCGGGCACAAAACTATACAGCCATTTTGGGACACGACGTTTACAACGTATATAGCTTGTATATATATATATATTAAACGTTAAAGTAATACTATTATAATAGGTTTACTAATTAAATCTAGCTGGAAGCTATATTATACGGGAATAGATCAGTACGCTGTTGATTAACCAAACTAATTTGGCTTCTATAAGTTACTACTGATAGTTAGGGATCAGATTGAATTGCTGTATGCTTAACCACCTTCTGCTTTACATGAGTTAAATATACGGTAAGAAAGCCACAATGAAAGCAAATGTAGCTCTCCAGAGAAACATTGTGCTCAAATTATTAGCAGAAAAAAAGTATATAGCATGCATAAAAACAACTAGGTTCGAACGTCAATATCTGTGAGCAGATGCAAAAAAAACGGATAGCAAATATTTCCGATGGATGTTATACATTTAACCGTGTGGTGTGAATAGATTATTTGCCTTTTTTATATACTTCCTTAGCAAATTAAGACTTTTTTAAAGTAGTAGATATCTCCACGAATTCACACTTGTTTCTTCTCTGAAAAGCACTGGCAGACCCGTATTTACATTTTACACAACTTTACTTAATAGACAAAAAAGAAAATTTCCCAAACTTTTTTTCAGTTGCCCTGTGAGTAAAAGTGGGTATCGAAAATGGACTTTTTTGGTGCAAATAGCCCAATTTACAGTGGATCAAGATTTTATAGAGTGAAGATATGGAATGTTTTGGTCAATATTTGAGCAATCGATGTCCAAAACTGCTGATAATGTGGATCTTAATGTGCCTAACCAGGTTCATTATAGTCATAGAGGCTACTATATTTTATGAATTGTGATTTATAGCTGATTTTTGGTGTAGAATTTGCCAATTTGATCAAAATGATCATTTTCGTTGTTAACAATTAAATTTTTATTCAAATAGTACATTCAAGTATTTAGTAATTATAGCCTTAATACAACGAGATAAGCCTGCTTGGTGAAAATCAATTGGGTGATTAATCCCAGTGCTCTACATTTTTTCTTTTGCTCAGATATATTAGCTGTAATTGCTTATAATCGATTCGAAATCCAAACAGAATACGTTACTATTATAGCTTGACTGAACATTTTTTATAATTTATATCTCAATACAGTACCTTTATACAGCTATAACACAGATATTAAAACACTCTTTATGAAATAGCAGCTGGCTCTCGAAAGTTAAACATATATACATATATATATATAAAAGAGATTTAAGGAAACAAGAATGTGTATCTTATATGTGTGTTTGTCGATAAAATTATATGACAATAGTCGAGGTAGATTGTCGTTGCTATCTGTTACCATTAGTCATCTTGATGGATTATTTGTACTTTAGACTTTGCCCACAGACCCAGTTAACTCAATGTATTTAGAGTAGCAATCATTGCCTTACGTACTTTGAAGCACACATATGCTTTTAGTTTTCTTTGCATCTAGATAATGCTCTTTAACAGATCGAACTTGAAAAACAAGGGTTCCATTTTAAAGATCTTTCTTCCAAAAGACTTTTTGTTCATATCCACCATAAAAATATCCCGTGTGTCTGATAATAATGCCAGAAAAGCTACTTTTCCTATTTATTTTTTGGCAGTATTTCTGAGCATATTCAATATCGGATCCCTCAAGTTCTCATGCACAAGGTATTTTTTCTGTTCTTGTTTCGTCCATATATATACATATAATACCAGCCTGTTTGAGCTAGTCTTTCCAGGTGGTCAGAATCATATGAATAATCATCGACATTGTTTACTTGTTCAAGGCTAAAATGCTTGACTTTGCCGTACTTTAATCTGATATCGCAAATTATGAATGTGTCTTAAAACGAATGTTCCTGTCTTTCGCTTCTGTTCATCTTGGAACCTTCTTTTACTCCTCTCGGACCCTCATTTTTCTCAACTTAACCAAGTCCACTTTGATGACTATTTAAAATATATTTTTGCTCTGTATTCAATTTCAAGCCATCTTCTTTTGATACCTTATTTGAACCTTTGCGAAATGGAGGAGGCATTTCCGACCTAATTTGGCTGGAGGAGACATAACTCTTTGATGTATATATAATAATGTAAAGCTTTGTGCCCCCAGTCTGTTTAAAGACACACTACTTTAAATTTTTTGTCAACGTTTGAAAAAAAAATTCCCTCAAACTTGAGCTTACGTTTATGTAGAATTGGTAGTATTATAGCGCACAGACCATGTTATGCTATTTTTATGTATTATACTCTGCTTAGAACATGTAGATACTTCATTGCATATCGATGTGGTCTTCATACAATACCTAGCAATTTCAATATTCAATAATTTTAATTTAATGCGAGAAAGTTTGCTAGTCTCAACTTTCCCACTGCAAGCTAAATAATGGGATTGCATTTTAAACAATATTAAGCTTGCTATAATGATATACATACCGTACTGTCTTGAATTCCAAGCTGACCAAAGTGACTTTTATTTGTTTGAATGTTTGTGTATTGTCCTTAACTACAATAAAGAAGACTATACCTTAAATCATGCAAGTCCTTGTTAGGATTAACAATACACAGCACTGTATTTGAATCAGCAATTGTTTTACTTATACTAGAACTAGCTGTTATAATGTGTCATGTTGAGTACTCACAAGACTCTATAGAAAGAAGGCAATTCTTATGTATAACATTTACTTGTACCGTTAACTTTGGCTATCAACATATTGAATGCAATTTTATTCGCATAGTCAATCCCATAGTAGCTGTATATTCTAGTACTAAAGCACAAAGTAAAGCACCTATAATTTAGTGAAATTTTGATTTTTTTAAAATAATAATAATAACAATATAAAGGAAATACTTGTGTGTATCTCAAAAAGTGTAATTAAATAAGTACAGAATTGAAAAAGATAGGATTAATTTTTTTTGTTTGTAGAGGGGAACGAGTCCCTGGATTTTATTGAGTGTTAGTGAAAGGAACCCAATTTTTTTTTTTTGGTTTTTTGGTTTTTTGGTTTTAGTTTGTAGTTTTTTTTTTGTAAATGTGTAAGTAGAGAAGAGAAAACTAAAAGAAATCTATGAGAGATCTAGTTCCTGAGCAAAAGAGGTAGAAAGTTTCTCCACAGATGATTGTACATGTTGTGTGTTAAAAGGCGCAGAGTCAAAAGTCACTCGTCAATGAGCTCTTCACAGAGATAAAATGATGCAGCTTATGGCTTGGCTCGGGTCAAGATAGTGTTCAAAATTGGCTGAATTAGGAATATCCAAGTGAAACAGCGCGCGATGAACATCGAATGGTTCAGGTTGATATTCAAAGTAAGTCAGCCAGGCATTGGACCAAACCAGCTACTTAAGAGGACACAAATACAGAAAGTGCTCTATGCTATCAATGCCATTGATGCAAAGGGCGCACATTGGAGACGGGAAGGTTGTGGGAGCGATGTGATGGAGGTGTGAGCTACAGGACAAGGATTGATGTAGTGCGCGGTATCAAATGTTTCGTACAGACTGGTGTATGGGAAAATCCCAATTTTTTTCCATTGAGTTAGTGTAAGCGTTGGGACATGGTTAGATAAGGGCGGATTGATTTGGCAAATTTTGCGAAAGTGAGTGGTGTGGAAGTCTTTAAGATGCTGGCAACCAGTGCGCAGTGCTGCGACAAATGGAGATGCGATTATGAGCTCTGGGTGGAGAGTGGGAATAAGTTCCGGATGTTCGAGGGGTGGCAGTGCTGTACGCCAGAAGAATGAAAAGAGATTGACCCGTGAGTTCTGAAGGTTACGGAGGAGTTTGGCGACAATGTATCTGGAATCAAGGCGTTCTGAAGGTAGGATTAAAGAGTGTTGGTTATATATTTAATCTGACGGAGAATAAAAAAAGAAGTTGATTTTTTTCTTTTTTTTTGAGCAGCCAATCAAGGATCGTTAAGACATTAAAAATGGATCTCAGAACTTGTGTTGCCTTTAAAAGAATATACTTCTTGGACATTGGTCTTTACTATGTTACCTCTGATATAAACAATTCTACAAGTATAAAAAGGATGTAAAATTCGAAAAAAAAATCATCCTTATTCTCTCTTATTTACCTCCAATATAACTTTTTTCTACCTCTTTCTTACCACTTTTCTGATGTCTTTGAATTCTGGCTTACCCACCGGTCGGTATGAGCGTGTAGAACCTTCATCTGTAAGTGACACGACCCACTTGAAAAAAAAAAGAAAAAAATCAAATGTGGTGGATATAGCCAGCTGCTTAAGATATTTCTCCGTTTTAGACCCCTAATGTTTCAGACCAAGAGTGGCTTGATTACGGTAATTTTTATTAAGAATAAATTAATTGCGCCTTGATGGAATACACACTCAAATCTTTGTATAGGGTATCTTAATGGAAATAGCACACACAAGGCAACATACCCTTTCCAAAACCAAGAGCCTCGTACACAGCAAAACAGCCCCTATTTCCTATCTAGGGAGCAATGGAAGAATCATATACAAGATATATTAGGTATTCATTTGTTCTTAAACACACAAATTAAAATTTAGAGAGGTTTCAACTTTAGGCTTGGATACATATTCAAATAGTGCTAACTAAGAAAACCTTTAGCTGTTCCAATCCTCGGTGATAATTTAGAGGCGCATTTTCATGGCTCACCATCGTTGCCACCGCTTGCTTCAACTTCCCCAGGATCTTCTCAAGGCCACTATGAAAGTGGTACGTAACGGGTTAAATAGTGAATTATTTTTGGTGTAGTTATCTAATGAGTATGGTCTTTTTCAAGATTATGATCATCATCCTGAAACGCTTCAACAACAAGTACAATACAATTTAACTAGTGTTGTTATTAGACAATATGACCCACGTAATCCATTGTCTCAAAACACCCGAGCTTCGAGTCCAAGCTCTACAAATATGCATAGATGCCCCGAGTGTCCGTATGAAACGGATAAGAAATCTAATTTCGATAGACATACGAAAACCCACTCGGGCGACAGAAGGTTGTTTTGCTGCCCTAAATGCCCAAAAAAATACACTAAAAATTACAATCTTAAAAGACATATCAACCAACGCAACTGTTAATGACTTATGATAACCTATGCTCTTTTAGTTATGTTCATATATATTATTTCCTTTGTACAACGCCTTTATTTATGTTCCTTAGTGTCTTTTAATTTCAACTTTCACTTTTATCTCCATCTTCATCTTCATTTCCATTTCAATTTTCGGGTCAATTTCATTATAATCTCTTTTACATTAAATAAACGAACAGCAATTGATTATAAATTCTGCGTGTTAGCATCTTAGCCAGTGTATATATGAGATTCATATAACTTGTATAATGAAATCTAATCCTATCTTATTTCTTTTTCTTTGTTTTGGAGGGTAAATATCAGAGGGCTTACTACTGCTACTATATTATTCTTTTAAACTGATATAATAGCTAGCTACATAATGATACAGTCAAAATAAGAGAAGATATATATACTGCAATATATATATATACGCATGGGAAGGTGAATGCGTCACTTCCTCGGAAAGAGACATTTTCTTTCTTTCTCTTGATCACACCTTACTTTTTTTGGATTTTCGTTTTTTAGAACCGTTTCTTACAACTCAATTGAGCACGCTCAGTATTCTCTAATAGTCAAAGCTCAAAAGAGAAAAGAATTTTTAGACCATTCTCAAGCTCACAAGGCTTAGATTCTTCAGAATTGAGAGATAGTTGGCCCAAAAAGGCTCTTATATTTTTGCAAATAATCGAAGCTAATGGTCAGCACAAATTATAGTATTATTATTTTCTTTTTGGCTTTTAGAGTATAGATAGTGGTCTCTCTGGTGAGAGTGTATATTATTATTTAATTTATAGAAGAACTTGAAGAAAAAACAGTCCAAACACGAAGGCAATCATTTTTAATTTTTTTACATGGGATGTCATACTGTTGGAAATAATACGGCTACAGATACTTTAAGAAACTCTAGCCAAGTATTAAGGCTGGGATACTAAGATGTTGCCAATAGCGTAAATACACTTGTCTACCCAAACTCTCAGGCTGATCAGACTGAAAAACAAATATCAAATCAAGAGGTTCTTCGAAAAGAACAATACTCATAGTCAATAACATCTCAATAACAATAAGCACTTGAGCAAATAATGGAATACAAAATTGAGCAGCACATGAATAATAGCAGTTAGTTTTGTGTAAAATGAATAGAATTGAATTTTAGTATTCTTTTTGAAACAAAATATTTTGCACAAATTTTCATTACTCATTTTGCCTTTATTGCTTTGGTTTATCTTTACCCTACAGCACTAAGCTATATCTAAGAATTCTTAATATAAACATAATTTATTTTTGGGCTTGATACGGCCTGATAGTATAATATCTTTTCTCTCAATTATAAATGTTGCTATATATAATTATACTTGGCTTCATAATGTATTTGATTTGTTTCTCAGTATTACAGACTCCTTGTTACATATGTACCATTAAGCAGTAGTACAAATATGATATATTGAATGAATAATAAAGTATCAATGATTTACATTGCTGTATATTAACGAGTGATGTCGAATATATGCATAGAAATATTGCTACCATTTACAAGTACTCTTTATGCTAAGGCTCTCATTAACAACCCAACACTCACTTGCTCTCATACATATATTATTATTTAATGTCTTGATTATATAAAAGAATTAAAATTAATAAAAGCTAGGAAACGAGAAAGAATATTCAATTATTATATTGAACCAGGAGTTTTTGTTGAGAGACAAGGAGGGTGTATATTTGCTTGCTTATTTGTTTGTTTTGTTTGGCTTGAAAAAGGAGTACCTCTAACAAGTTTTGTGTTTAATGAATGACAAGTAAATTTTATTTTGGATAATATGTTGGTTTACTTATTAACAATATATTCAAAATTAAATAGAAGAGCAGATAGAAGATATGTAAAGACTTATTGCTGTGTAAAGAAGTGTCCCTCAGAGAGAGTGTATACTGGAACGAAGATAAAGTGAAATACCAATAGTATATAAAAGATTATTAATCATAGACAAAAAGGAAAGAAAAGAAAAATCAAATTGATCTGCACATTTATTTGTTTGTCCTCTTATTAGATAATATTGGTAAATGCTGCAATTTGAATATCCAAAAGAAGAATTATAAGCATTGTTTCATACAGCTTCTCTAACGTAACCTGTACATATTCTGTCTATGATATATTGAGTAAATAGGCGGTATATCTATGAGAGTCCGTTGAAAGTAGCTATGAATTGTGGACATATAAAAAAAGTATTTATATATTGAATGGACTGATTCTTGCTTTTAACTTGCAAATATCTGGTTAGTAAAAGTGACAAGAAGTACCAATGAAAATATATGTGTTTCAGCTAGTTAGTTACTTGATTTATCTGTATATAGTTTCATGTTTATGTGATGATGTAAATACTACATAAAAAATGGAATCAAATATTAAGTTCTTTTAGTTTTATTTTTTATACTACACTATAAATGTATTCCCTAGAATTTGCGTAGATATTGATAGATTGATTTTGACTGCTTACGTAAAAGTCTGGTTTGATAAGAGAAAAAGGCTATAAAAGAAAAACCTTTTTGCGCTTGCTTTTCTTTATACTTCTCTTTTATTTATTATTTTATTCACTCTCGCACTTTAACACCAACAACACATCAACCACTACCGCTTTTAGGTATGTCAAATCTCAACCAGCCTGTCATAATCCATTGGCATTTCTAATACAGATGGTATTTTAGAATCGATTCTCTCCCTGATGGGCATGTTATTGTTGGTGCAGTCGATGGTCCTTCCGGGGAGATTAGTAGTGGTCACTCTTTGGAAAACTTCTTATGGTTCCCACTCCCAATGATATTTTAGAGGGTTTTTTGGGACTGAAGTTACCTCTCCTGAGGTGTTTGGTGGGTCGGATAAGGCCCAAGGTAATTATTTCATACACTCTTTCAGGAAATTATTTGTGCAGAGATAAAAATCGTTTTGATGCACTAATAGTTTCTGGAAAAAGTGTATTTTATTTAATTTAATTTTGCACATCTCTAATATTTTTCTTTTATATTATACTATTCCATAGCTGTTCCTAGAGGAACAAAGCGTCCTTGTCCGGAGGACTTCACCTCCACGGCCCATATGGCCAAGCGCCTGGAGGTGGTCACCATTCGGGCGTTGAGAAGACCCGCTGGGAGGGGACCTCGTGGATTCCTGTTGTCCACGAGCCCTGCCCGGCGGGTGGCTCTTAAGAGGAGCCTGAGATTGGTCAGACACGTGTTGCTGGAGATAAGAATATTTATTTTATTATTTTCAAATATATATTTTAATATTGTTGTAATATTTTTTGAGAATTTTTTTTAATAAAAATATAATTTTGTTGAAGAATATTAATATTAATATTAATCCAAATGAAAATAAAGACAATGTATAGAATTGTTTGGTCATTAGAATTAGAGTTTATTTAAGGGCTAAATGGCTTTTGTGTAGAGCATAGACAGAAGATTTTCTTTTTTTTTAAAGAAGTACAAAATGAAAAGGAGAAAGTAAATGAAACATAACCTTTGATGGTCAAATGGTGTTTTGATCTCAAATAAATTATAAAAAATAATTATATTCTCCAGCAACAATCTTTTATAGCAAACAGATAACCGCATGATATAGTGTATCTACAAAAAGAGCCAAAATAATTAATTGCTCTATGTTGTATCTGGCATGGCAGATTGATCCACCAGTGCTTCTTGTATCGCTTATCATAGCAAACTTAAAGTAGTTCAATAGCTCTTCTTTACTATCTGTATTCATTTTTTTGTCATTCAATTGGACATCTATACCACACTAATCAACCCAAACATGTGTTACATACTCACCCAAGTATCCATTTTCATTTCAAGGCATCTAACAACCACTGGTAATCTTTATTAGTTAAAATACTGGTTTTCTATAAACTTCGTCAATCAATTGATGGATCAAAGCCAAAGCAGAAACAAAAAGTTGAGCATGCATTATATATATAAAAAAAGTGCTAGAGTGTTCATAATAATCCTTAATAGCCTAATAATATTTTTCTGTGCTGTTTATTTGAAAAGAAGATCCATTAATAACGGTTAGTAGCTCTTAAGAATGCGTCTTGAATATTGTGTTTTACTGCATGTACACCCATATATGTCAATAAAGCAAGAGAATGTCTAACTACTATTACCATTACAAATATCTCAGTATTTCTTTAAAAGCGATACTTTATTACAGCAATCTTAATTATTGAATTAGTAAGTAAATCGATATAAATCATACTTATGCAGGAAATAAGTATGTTTATATTCATCCTTTTCATCAATAAAATAATCTTCGACAGATTTGAATCGTAATATCAAGACACCAAGTTGAAGATCCCTTTTCCAAAACCTTTTAAGTTTATAACTGAAATCATATTCCTCCGTATCATTTCGTTCCTCTTCAAATTCTCTTCTTCGCCCAAAGTCTTTAAGGTATCTCTGGCAAAATTCAATGTCACATCTTCCAAGTTCCCATACCAATAATATGTTTCTTCTGTTTGTTGTGTCGACGCACAAATGATACCAGTTTAATTGGGGTGCATGTCCTTGATCGGTTTCATCATTTCCCATTTGCTCAATGACAATAAGGTTAGGGGACAAAGAGTAAGATTTTTGGTTACCGTATGCTTTTAACAGTTTTAGTTGTGAAAAGGGCATATCCACAAGTATTTGTCTGGTTTTATCAATGTCAGAACCACGATAAGAAATAAATAGCAATGTCATATATTTCAGCTGTCTGCAACGGAAAGATATGTATTTAAAAACATGTATATCGATTCTTGTCTTCGCAATTTCCAGTGTTTGTAACGGATGTGGCAAGTGTGTAGAGTGTTGGTACTCTGGAGATTGAATCTCTGAATTAGCTATATGTAATAATCGCAAGACTCGACAATGATCCAAAATATTCTCCATGTCAATATACCGACAATTGGATAACCTCAATACAGTTAAATGGCTGTAAAGTACAAGTGATTTTCTTTCTACATGTATAGAGCTGTCGGAATTGCTGAAAAAGATACATAGAGTATTCACTGATTCAGGAAAATATTTGATCCACGTGTTTAAATCGGCTACTTCTGGTGAGTATATCTCAAAACAAATTGTAATATTCTTGGTCTTTACATTAAAGTGTTGAAGAGTGCCATAAAATAAATAAAGTAACCAGGCATTGTTGCAGACTCTTGTGTTTGTTGTTTTTAGACAAGGAAAGAATTGTTTGGCGGATAACAGTAACTGAAGTAGACTGATATTTCTGGCCATCGCAAGGTACTGAACCGACGTCGTATTAAACATCATATGAGCTTAAATTACAATTGACTGGACTGGGATACTTGTGTGCAAAGTAAAATATCCACGATGTGTCAGTATAATGAGAGCAAAAATCGATCTCGGTAACAGTGTGCGCTGGTTCGGCGTTTCTTATTGCTTCGATGTCTTTTTCGGATATTGGTTTAAATACAGCAAATATATTAAGGCGCTTGAGAAGCCCCTAATATATTGTAGGCGTGGAAAGTAGCGGTGAAGCGATTCAAAGTCGGTGAGGGAAATATCGGGTCTGTTTATATTATGATTATTTTGGTGAATTGTGAGGTGAGCAAGGCAAGTCAACGGTGACAATTGTTCGAGAAATTCATTCATCAAGGAGTCTTTTTGCCGAAAGTTTATTTTCAGACGTGATAATGTTTTCCAAAGACTCCAATTAATTTGAAAGAGTTCGCTTTCTTCATATAACGCCCAGGAAATATACTTAATTCTGGGATATGTTTGCTGCAATACTGAAATATATTTCGATTCATTTTTATTTAATTCGATATTCAAGGCCCACGCTCGATGTGCATTCCATTGATAGACTTCTTTAAGATGGAATTCGTCAAATATATTGCTTACATAAAATTCTTCATGTCAACTTGAGCCCAATAAGCGTTTAAAAATGATTCTGTCCACTGCTTGCAGACTAGGACGTATTTACACCAGTCATATACTTTGACATATTTTGCAATATATTCGAGGATCTCTAGTGGTAGTTTTGCTGCCATTGTAGAATAGAGATAATGAGAAAAAGAAATATCATTGAATATCCATCAAGCAAACCAATTTATATCTAATTGATTTTTTGACGTGAAACATTCAGAATTTAGTGTGACTTGTAGACTCTCAAGTATTAGTCACCAAACCTTCTCTATTTGAAAGTCGAAACTTGTCTTCCTAAAGCAATTAATTGTTGCACATGATTGCTGTCTTCTTCTTCAAAAGATGAAGAGGATCCAGGTGCGAATGGGTTTGAAGGCAAGGTTAATCCTATTGGACAGAATTACACTCTTTGGAGAACTACCATATTTTGACTTTTAAAAAGAAATTTCTATTTTGGATAGATATTGACACCGTATATTTTATCCACTAGTTTTTCTTGTATCACTTATCGCAGTGAACGTAAAAGTAGTTGAACGGCTCTTTTTTATTTTCTCTTTAATAAAATTGTCCTTTCTACTGGTATTCATTTTCCTGTCGCTTAGTTAGACATTTACACCACATAACCAACTAACCATGTGTCATAATCATATCAATTTTTGCAAAGAATATTATTTATCTATTTGCCTTTAAAAAAAAAGAAAATGTTTCGAAGAGCACTTGATTAATACTTGGTGGTTAGCAAGGGTATTAAGATGTACTATACAAAATGTAACAGAGGGTTTAACAAAGTATGGATATGCTTAATGAACAAAAGAACATCATGATACTAAAAATTGGTTGATAATTATCTATTTATGTCTGCAAAGATAGTTCAATAATATGGACATATTGCTCAAGTTTTTTTTTGGGGATTGTACTTTGGTAGGTTGTATACATTGTGTTATCGACTTTGCTACTGTAATCAATTCGCTTAGCTTCTCCTATTATTTCTAAGCGTTTCGAGATGTTTCCCAAACAGAATTGGAGCTAATAGAAAATTTTGCCTGTTGAATCTGATGATAATAATTTAATATTGATATTGAAAGTAACATGTACAGTATAATATATCGAATTCTTACAAGATCTCTACAGAACCTTGTTTTCATGACCACATCATTTGTTTCGACCGTCTAGAGTAGATAACTCAGCCTAATTTGACTAAATCGAATCAGTTGAAGCATTTCAACAAATGCTTTTTCGATGTCTTCCGAAATTTTTGAAAATTCCGCATTTTCTTTCGAATCTGTTTGGATAGACATATCAGATCTATCAGATATATTCAGATTGGCAATACCAGAGGTTCCTGAGTGTGTATTAGCTATAGCGTTCTATCTCCAGGATAGAACGGCATCATAAAGCTTTTCTTCATTCACAGGAGGAGAGAGGTTATTGGTTTCGAGGATCTTTATCACGCTCTCGGAATCAAAGGCTATAATCTCTTTGCTTCTGACAAAAGTTGCAGCATTATGTTTGATGAAGTTCTTGCATGCAGTTTCAATATCTTTGCGACGGTAGTTAGCTGATTCAAAAAATTGAAGATGATTCCATCAACAGATTTGGATTAATTAAGATGATTAACGTACCTGCCAATTTCTATGTAAGCCATATACTCTTGTTGTTGATGTTTGATTTCAAGTAAGCAAAAATTAAGTTGCAAAGAGTAGATATTTCAATTCTCTCGGCTACTTTGAGGATCTTGGATGCTTCATCAAGGTCTTTTACGTTATACTCAGAAGAATATATCAAGACGAGAATCTTTTCAAACATTTCTGGAGAAATACCGCGTATAGTCACATCTTTACTATTAGAATCACTCATTTTAATTTTGAAAAGTGCCTTGAACCAAGGAGAGGCTCCAGCCAAGACAACTTTGTGACACCTAAAGTCTCGGCTTTTAAGTTTTTCTATGCATATATTTAGTGTCTGGTACATATACTTATTTGGCTCTTGAATACGCTTACGACTATCTGAATCGTCATTACTCTCACTTTTAATAACCTTGATTGTTACATCGGAAAAATCCGGAGAATCAGCATAAGAAGAGAGATCAATGGATGGTGTTGGGCACAGTAGCTGGCGTATTTTATCTTCAAATCTAATAAGTACTGTTGCCGAAAGATTACTGCTCACATGGAAAATGCTATGCTTAAATTCCCATAAATAAAGGTCTGATATGTATTTCAGATAGTATATTAGTCTTTTTTTTTCTACGACCTTTCAATAGGCTGTCTTATCTCACCAATTCCAGTGTGCTCTAAAAGCGTAAAATATTTTTGGGGGGTGTTATATAAGTGTTAGATACTTTTCTTACCGTTATTTTTTACTTTATCTTTTCGTGCAGCTTCAAGGCTTATTACTTTGTTTGCAGAGTCTATAATTGTGTAAAAGGCTCTGATGCTACTGGCTAGTTGGCGAGAATTCTCTTTGGTACTCGTTTTTTGTAGAATAATTTCAAAATCAAACGTCTGAACCCATTATCGAATTAATAGCTGGTTTATATATTCTCTCAGTATTATAATCCTTTAATCTGCTTACATAATAATGTGGGTGGGACTTTATAACCTATGGTGTGTGATTACCCATATATATACATATACATATACATATATATTATATACTTTAAAATGACAATATACTTACATTCAGTGTGCTAAAGAAAATGGACAGAAGATGCGTATGAAAAATAAAAAATAAAATGTTTAAAAAATCGTATATTTAAATACTTTGTTTTATTAGAATTTTTTTTTTAAAAAAAAAGAAATCTTTAATTTACATACTCTTAAATATTCCTTACCATACATAATCACCACACACATTTTGTGTATTAAATATAGGTGAAGAAAGCTCAATTCTTTCGAGATTAGTTAATTCAAAACGTAAACTGCACGGATACGGCTTAATTAAACAGCTGAATGTTATAAGAATTAGTCCACTAATAACTTTTCATAAATCTACAGCTAATTTCGCTTACTCTGAGCTCATGTTAAAAGATTATTTAATATTCATAAAGTCTGCACTACCACCCATTTATATAGATATTTTAGCATAAAACATTTATCAATATATATATATATATGTATGTAACCTTGAATTTCCAATGATTATAATAGGTTTTGACTGTAGCCATTAATGATTTAATTATTATAACGTAGATGAAGTAAAAAAAAAATGTCATTGATATGAGAAAAGTATAGATAAACGATATTACTGATGTTGCAGTCATTAGCTTGCTAGTAATCCAGACAAGTTGTGTAGTTTATCAAATATATTGTATACACTGACCTTCGGTGCACAATAGCCAAAGTTTGCTAGAAATTATGTTGCCCCGATCTCCTAAACTATTATAAAGATACATGCTTTACATAACAAGTATACTTGGATCTGAAAATTATCATCAAAACATTTTGTCTTGGCATCAAGGCTTATCAACTACGACATCCAAAACAGCTATTTTGCATTTGGTTCTCCTATATACAGTGATAATAAACAGATAGTTTGCTCCAGATAACCATGAAACATTCAAGGCTTGTTAGCCTTTCCATGCTTTCAGTTTTCTCGGAAGTTCACGTTACTTGTGTTGTGTGCAAATGAACTTGAGATAGATGTACATAGGACTGTTAATCAATAAAGTATTTGCATGATGATATACAAACTACATTTGAAAATAAGGCTTTACCTTGGGGTAAAGGAGAGGAGAGGAAGACAAAGAAAAAAAAGGCATTAATATAAAACTTTAAACCTGTTGTAGTTCTATTCATAAGAAACCACCACTTGATAAAATAGAGGGAGTATATTATAATAGCTTAAAGCCGTTATAATAATGGTATTTTATCTTGTTCATATTCTTCTTTATATTCAATGCATTTATTAGATGATTAGAGAAAAGTAAAAAAAAAAAAGAAGCCCACAATATTTGGATCAAAATCTTAATATCAAAATACTATTAATCAATTGAATCAAAAGCTCTCTCTCTCTGGATAATAAATTTTGCTCTCATCAGTATATCACTCATTTCCTCATTCTTGTCAAACCCCATTAATAATAAGCAAGCAAGCAATTGATTGATTGAATGATTTATTTATTTATATTTATATACTTATATATCAAAATCAATCTTAGACTATTTAATATGTACAATAGCAGGTAGGTGTGTTGTTGGAGGTGGTTTATCCGTTGATGACCTCACCGCCGTTGGGATGAAGGACCTGACCGGTCATGTAGCTTGAATCAGGACCGGCTAAGAATACGTAGCAGGTAGCAACTTCACTAGGCTGTCCGGCACGCTTCATGGGTACTTTCTTGCCAAAGTCGCTCATTTGTTCAGGACTAAAGGAAGCAGGGATCAATGGGGTCCAGATAGGTCCTGGCGCAACACCATTTACTCGGATCTTGGGTGCAAGCTGCTGTGAAAGCGATCGAGTAAATGCAACGATGGATCCCTTTGTGCTTGAATAGTCAATCAGCTTGGCCGAGCCACGGTAGGCAGTTACCGAGGTTGTGTTGATGATTGAACTTCCTTCCTTCATGTGTGGTACAGCATACTTGGTGGTAAAGATTTGACCAAAGACTATAAAAAGAATTGTGCATTAACATATGAGTACAAGTGTGTGTATGTCAGTCAGTCAGTCAGTCAGACAGACAGACAGACAGACAGACAGATAGATATTTGTACGTACTGTTGGTCTTGAAGGTTCTCTCGACCTGATCTTCAGGAATGTCAACAATATTCTCCACCACATGCTGTTCGGCAGCATTGTTGACGAGAATGTCAATGTGTCCAAAGGCCTTGACATGAGTGTCGATTCCCTTTTTGATTTCATTTACGTTTCCGATATCAAGTGCAAATGTGATGACCTTGCACTTGGACTCTTTTTCGATGTCACGCTTTGTGTCCGCAGCATCCTTTTCTTCACTAGGGTGGTAAAAGATGGTGAGACCATCAACGCCTTCCTTTGCAAACAAAAATGCGACAGAGCGACCAATTCCAGAATCACCACCTATAATGATATGTGAGTTATAAAAGAAAGAAAAAGACACGGTATATGAATCATAGAGTGATGTATTTTGTTTGTTGTTGTTGTTTATTACCAGTAATAAGGGCCTTTTTGCCACTTAGCTTTCCTGCTGCCTTGTATGGCTCAAAATGACCATCGCCACCCACAAGATCATATGCAATTGGGTGGGGATCCATGTCTGCCTGAAGACCGGGTTGGCTCTGTCTATCCTGAGCAGGGATATCGGATACATCTTTTACGTGAGTTGACATAATGGGATACTTTGTTGTTCGTGATGTTTTATTAGGGGGATTAAGAGTAGAATGAATTCGATTCTGAATACTTTATGAATTTCTTTGGAAATCTACTCTAGTTATATAGGCGATGCGAAAGGTACTAGTCGATAATAAATCAGGCTGGTAGCAGCATCTCTATTGACGTAAGTTTATCCCTCGTATGAATTATTCTTTTGTCAATTTCACGTCATGTTTGTAGGGCCCGCAACACAGTCTATTTTCCCCCAAGCCAAAAATAAAATTAAATCAAATTAAATAAAATAATGAATAAGGGCTAATGGATAACAATAGACCGACTGGATTTTACATTACATATATACATCTTGATCAAAATAATAAAGAAAAAGAAGCTTTGAATATGGCCCTTGCTTTAATCGAAAATATTATGTAATGGGTAATGAAGTATTTGAAAAGATATTTGACTGAGGGTCATTTAAACTGGTCTAATTTTACTTTATGTTCTTTATTTATTTATTTATTTATGTGGTGTGGTTTGGTCAGACTTGAAAATAGCCAAAAAAAAAAAAGAAAGACAAATTTTGATTTGTTTCAATATTCTCTTGACAGGTATCTCTTTTTTGTTTTTAATGGTAAAATGAAATGCAATATATGCGATTACCACAGATAAAGTAAGCTGATATTTTTGGAGTATAAGCAATTGAGTATCTCTCTGTGTGCCTGTTAAGTATTAATAATGACTTGTAAACTCTGGCTCATTACAGTATAGCTTATCGTAATTTATTATTTCAGGTACTTGGCTGCTATAATCGCAATCAAAGGTAATCTAACATTTGGTCACCCATTTGCGTGAATGTAGTCATTCTAACATCTGAAACTCCCCTCATCATTTTTTTTAGGAACACCATATTTGGTCTCCGTCTGTTGCACAGGCATTTCAAGAAGAAGAAAAGAAAGAAGTATTAAAGTCTTTAAAGAAGTACACAAAAGCTTTTGTTTAAAGTATATCCGTACAAACAAGTAACCTTGAATTGAAAGAAAAATTGACTTCTTTACCACCTCGTTTTTTTTTTTTAAAAAAAAAATTCTTATTTTGTTCAAAAGGCTCGGCCCTTTTTTTAAATTTTTTTTATTTTTTATTGCCTAAAATCACCGATGGCTGTCTTTGATTGAACCAACAAAAAACACGTCTATAGAATGTATTCAGAACAATTTATTTAAAGGAATTATCCATTTATTTATTTTCTCTTCTATAAAAGCACAAGCCAATATATGTATATATCTATCTACCAATGTACTCCTACCTAATATTCACATTGAAGTTTGACGTCAATTGATTTTTGATTTTTTGATTAAATTAGCTAATTTTAATGTAAAATATATATATATATATATATATATATATATATCACATCTGGGTAACCTGTAAAGGGTTTCATGCTTGTTTGAATAAATGATAACAAAAGTAAATGAATCGGGTATCTTACAAGAATCTTACTGTAGAATTAAAGCCAGGTACTTTTTTTTTATCTCACTCTAATATAATATTTAAACTTTCTAGCCACAAGTTTCATTTGTAGAATTGCATGTAATACAAGTGTACTTGATTAAGAAATATAAAGGCAGAATTCAGAACTCGATTACTAGAATCCAACAAGCTTAAAAGTTACAACAATTTAGAGATAAAAGTAGCATTTCATTGTCCTTCTCTTTCTTTTTTTTTTTGGCATGTTTAAATCAGGTGTGTCTATAAAGAAAATTAAAAGGAGAAAAAAAATATACATGTGTCGGTGTGCTTGATTCTATTGCTGTTACCGTTACCGTTATTTCCTCTTCGTTATTATTGTTAATAATAATTAAGCGGTAGGCTTAAAGGCTCTCAATGATTCATTTACTTCCTCATTCCAAACAGCCTTTGTGTCAAATTTGCTCTTTAGTTTTGTGCACAGCAAGAATGCACCCGAGAGCTTCTTGTGAAGACCGTATGTCTCATCCGGAGGTGGGGTGAGACGATGGCGGAGCATGATGGGGATCGTCTCTCGCACACGCTCAGTGATCGTCTGTTTCTCAAAATCGTACATGTCCGGTGCACTCTCTCCAAACGGCTCGCCCAATACCATCACGCTGTCGATATGTGCATTGCGCATGATTTCTGTTTCATACCCAGTCACAAATCCAAGTTCCTTTGAGTACTGCCATACGCCTTCGCGGTCACCTCTTGAGGCAGACACCAAGATACGGCCATACAGGGCCAAAAAGGTATCTGGGAATTCACGGCAGGCACCAAAGTCAAGCAATTCGAGTTGACCGTTGCGGCGGTTGTAAAAGAAGTTTGACCAGTTGGGGTCAGTTTGCATAAACTGGAAAGAGAATACTTCACGGAGACAGAGGCGCAAAATTCCTTCACCAAGCTTAATAAATGATAACAATAATAGACAGGAAACCCAAACAGAAAAAAATATAATTAGAATATGTATATGTATAGACCACAAGTTTATGGGCGTGTGTGAGTATAAGGTTGCCGCAAGATATATTCCAGAATATCCTAAACCTTGTACTTATATATCCACAAAGTAGTTTACCTTGTTGCGCATATCTTGAGATTCTTCGGTTGCCTTGCTCAAAACTCGTCCTCTGAGTCGCTCAGAAACGAGGATCTGCTTGGTACACAATTCCTTGACAACAGTCGGGACCTTGTACCGATCATCATTCTTCAAAAGGCTGTTGAAACGCTGTGCGCTTTCTGCTTCACGCAGATAATCACACTCCCAGGCAAGTTCCTGCTTGGTAACCTTGACAGTGTTGTCAAGATAAAGTCCTCGAGGAAGTAGATTGCTAAAGGTAATGATGGTCTTTAGGTTGTTGAGATCACTGTCGATCGATTCAGCAACTCCGGGGTATTGGATCTTGATGACCACATCTTCACCCGTAGATGCTAGTTTGGCTGCATGGACTTGTCCAATTGATGCTGCAGCCATTGGAATAGAATCAAACTCGCTAAAGTTTGACCGCCAGTCAGATCCAAGTTCTTGAGACATAACTTCCTACATAATAATAATCATCATCATTTCACGCAAGTATATAAAGCATATTTATACGTATATGTATATATGTTATCAGCTTTTGTTTAATCACACCCAATATATATATATATATTGAAAAAGAAATCAATCAATTACCTCCATTTGTTTCTTTGGCATATAGTTTGCGCTATCGTGGACACGCAACAAAATTTGTTCCAATTGTGGAGGCATCATGTTCTTGCCCTCACCGGCGGCCTGAATACCTTGAATACTCAACATTTGACCCATCTTAAGAGCTGCACCTCGCATACGGGACAACTTTTCGACCAAACGATCCACATTTTTTTCACTCAACATAACAGATCCTGCACATACCACCAAAAGAGATATATACACGTAAATAATTATATCAAAAGAAAAGAAAAAGACATTTTATTATTATTATTATTGTAATTATAATTATTATAAAGCCTTACTATAATATCTACTTGTTTCTCTAACCCACTGTATGTATGTATGTATATATGTATATATGTATATGTATATGTATATTTGGATAGAAGAGCTTACCCTCGTTATTAGTAGAAATACCAGTAGCTCTCTTGACAGATTCACTGATAGCACCCAACCCAAGACCAGTAGCCAAGGTACCATAATGCCACATTCTGCCAGCTCTAGAGGTTGGAATTCTGGCCTCTTTAAGAACTTTTTTCGGTTCCTGAGTAACATGAGCTGTTTTGTTGATTCACTCCTCTTTCTTTCTTTTCTCTCTCTATCTATCTATCTCTCTCTATATATATATATACATGTATATATGGTATACATAAAAACTTTCAAATTTCTTTAAAAAAAAAACCTTACTTCTGATAATATTTTGAGAATTTCTTCTGTAGATTCTACATTGGTGGCGGAAACAGTTGACTTTTGGAGTACGTTTTCTTTCAAGATTGTAGTAACTGGTTCAACCAGTTTCTCGGGTTCAGGGGCGGTTGTCTTTTTTTGTAGACTGGTGACTTGGACATCGATTGCCTGTTCGATTATTGAATTGAGAGGAGTGTGAGATTGAGTTGTGTCAAGAGGACTGGATTGATAAGTGCTGCTGTTGATTTTTGAGGATTCGGTTTGGATCGATTCTTTTATGGTTGCATTGAGTTCAATGTGCTCAGGTGGAGAATAAAGTATGGTCTCCTTTATTTGTCCTGGTGATGTTGATGCGTCTGTAGCTGTGGCTGTGGCTGTGGCCGTAGCTGTATTTGCGTCTGTGGCTGTGTTTGTGGTTGGGTTTAATATACTCGAAGTCTTGATGTGGTGACTGAGTGCACTAGACTGGCTTCCCAGGAACGAATAGCCAATCTTTGTGGTTGCCGAAGCAAGAACAAATATATCGACAAGTCCACGCGTCAATGCCATTAATCTTTTTTCTTTTTCTTTTCTTTAGTTGGTCGGCTTGTTTGGTTTGTGTACGAAATAAAATAAAGACACAAGAGTATTAAAGCGACCAAGAGAAATAAAGAAAGAGAAACAGTAGAATAAAATAAAGTAAGTTGTAGTAGTGGTAACTTGTAAAGCCTTGGTTATCTTTATTTAAACCCAATACAAGAAAAATAATAATTGATTGACAGGCACGAAACCTTTATTGCTAATTACACCTTCTTGCTGTGACGCAACGACCTGGATTCCATTTTGTCTTTGGTAGAAAACTTATACCAGCCGATAAAAAATTCAATAGAAAAAAAATATTAGCTTTTCCTTTGGTTTCTTGTTCTTCTTTGGTTTCCAAGAAACCTGTGAATTAAGGCTATATAATTTATCTATATATATATATATGTTTTTATTGATTTTTATTACTTTAGTTTTGCTGACAGAGTCAAACCATTTAAATGAGTGACAAATATATATAAAGGAAAGAAGGAAGACCTTTCTTTTCTCAATTCCAATAAGCTTATTTAATTTTTCAAAAAATATTAATGATATTAAATATGTCAGAAATCTATAATATATTCCTCTCTTGAAGGAAAATCAAACTGGCTTTTGCTATGGAAACACACATGGGAATATAAATATAGCTATAGAACAGAAGATATTACTTTAATTCATTTCGCTTCGCTTCAATCCAATTCAATTCAACTCAACTCGATTGATATTTTAGCTGTTGATACTTGCTACTTCATACCCGCAGTTACTCATACAACCTATACTATATTATAGTATATATATATATATATATATCTTGCAAAGAAATAAATTATAAAACGAAAATTTAATTAATTAATGAATTTTTTTTTTGCAGGAGTTTGTAAAATTATTATATATATATATATATTTTTTTTATAAATGGCGGATTTGAAAAAAACTTAAACGGTCGCGTCACACCAAGTTACTGAACGCTTCATCAAATTTCCTGCCCTCTTATATATATATTAGCTTTAAGGTCAACGTGTCCCAAAAAATAAAACATAAAAAAAAAACTCTTCATCTGTATACTCCATCATCATAATGAGCTTTCTCAACTTTAGGTAATTCTCGAAAAATGAAAAAAGAAGAAAAAGAAAAAATATAGATTGTATATTATGCACATACATGTATAGATAGTCATTTATGATGAAGTAAAGTCAACCATAATATCAAACAGCATCAACAAGAAGAAGAAGAAGTGAATTGAATTGAATAATTATTGTGTACTAATAAATATTTAAAAATAAAATAAAAAAAAACAATATACACAATCTTCATGTTTTATATTCATCAAGTCTCGGTGGAAAACGTAACAAGGCAGCCAAGAGTAAATCATCAAGCACATCTCAGAGCAAGCCACTCTTTTTGTGCAATCCATATGTAACGCACATGCTTGTAAAGGGAAACTTCAAGACGATTATAGAACTTCCCAAATATGTTGATGTCAATGAATGGCTTGCATTCAATAGTAAGTTCTATATATATATATATATATATATATCTTCTTTCTTTTTGCTTTTTCTTTGGCAATGGTGATGGCGATGGTTATGGTAGTTGGAATTTGTGTGTGTGTGTGTGTGTGTGTGTGTATTTGTGCGATTATGGCGTAGAGTATACATTTTAATTCTAAAATATGATTATGCTTATTTTTCATAGCCTTTGAATTCTTCAACTGCCTTAACTTGGTCTATGGATCAATCAACGACTTTTGTACTGCCCAGAGTTGCCCTACTATGTCTGGAGGTCCAGGGTTAGTTGATATTAATGCTTTTGTTCGTAAAGATAAAGAGAGAGAGAGGGGGGGGGGGGGGGGGGGGGGGAAGAATCTAAAATTGTAATGACCTGTCAATATTTGTGTGGGTCTATATTTAATTACAGAGTCGAATATACCTGGTCAGATTCAGTGTCAAAGAAAGTCAAGCTTCCTGCACCTCAATACATTGATTTCATGACAGCAAGCATACAAAATTTGCTAGATGATGAATCCTTATTCCCAACAAAAGCAGGTAAAAGAAAGAACAAAATTAAAGATAAGCTCTACAAACATCTATCTATATATATATATATATATATATCCATATTCTCTTTAACAAAAAAAAATCATTTCTTCTTTTATAATTAAAATTTTGATAGGTCGAGACTTCCCTGCTCGTGAAATGCCTGCTGCTGTGAGAAAGGTGTTTAGCCAGCTTTTCCGTCTGTTTGCTCACATTTACCACCACCACTATGACAAGATTCTCTCACTACATGAAGAACCTCATTTCAATTCACTGTTTGCTCACTTCATTTCATTCGCCAGAGAATTTGACTTGCTCGACAAGAAAGAAACTCAACCACTCCAAGAACTCATTGACACCATGAGTAAGAATGGGGTTATTTCATGAAAGCCTTTACCACCAAATTCATATCTCTCTCTATTTCTACCTCTTTACCTCCGTTCTTACATCTACCTATATCTCTAGCTTTTCTCCTCATCTCTCCATCTCTCCAAAAATAAAAAAATAAAAAACCAAATATATATATATATATACAGTAAAGAAGTAATACTAGTAGTGATACAAAACTACATATATATATATATATATATATATAAGCCAGTTATGTCTATTTTGTATAAAGTACTTTTATTCTATCGTATGTGTCAACAACAACAATAACAACAAAAAGTAACTGTGAGATTAATTACAATTACAATGACAAAACACATATTCTTGTGGGCAAAAATATAAATATGGATATATAAATTGACATGCCTTTTTATTTCCGTTTTGTTTGAGGAACTACCACCACAACCAATATATATGTATTGTACAAGGTCTTCTTATTTTAGGCCTTTTTTTTTCTCAATGAGAAAGGCATATTCTTGGTTTACTATGGTTATTATGATTAAGAAATAATATGTCGTACTACAACCGTGGAAGAGCCAAAAACAAAAAAAAAACAAAAAAAAGAAAGAAATTGAAAGGCTTTCCGCTTTGGTTACACTGTTTTGGACAAAGAAAAAGAAGGAGAAGGCGACAAAGAGAGGCGCTAATGATTTCTGTAAAAGGTGTATTTTGTACATCAAAACAAGCAAAATCTACAGTACACTATAATGCACTATAGTACAGTATAGTACAATGCAGTGCACTATAGCACACTATAGTACATTATAATACACCGCATTATAGTGTAATGGTCTGTAGGTAGTAGTAATTCATCAAGGTAATTACACACATACAGAGAGAGATAATATTTATTTATTTATATATATATATATATTCGACAAATTGACCAATAGCCAAATACACTTAATCCACTCATTCATTGTTACTGGGTTACTATGTTATTGTGTTATTGTGTACAAATCAGATATTTTATTGACTAGCAAAATGACGCACAATTCTCATTATTATTATTTTGTACTCTTTTTTTAAAAAAAAAAAAAACACACACAACAATCAAAAACCCATGATAATGATAATTAAGATAAGCCCAACCAAAAGTAGGGTTTTTTTTTGTATTATGGTCTCAATGAAAAAGGAAGACAATAAGACAGCTTAATACTATAATTAATATGATTAATATTATTATTGTTTTTGAAACAAAAGAAGAATTAATGGTTCAATTTTGAATAAAATGAAAATAATAATATATATAAAAAAAAGAGAGAGTGGGGAATGGAAATGAAGAATAAAAAAAAATAAAAAATAAAAAAGATTTGATCCAACCAAGTTATAAACTCAATAGCACTGCTATAATTGAGATATGTACATCTTTGTAATAAGTTTTTGTCTGTTTTTGTGCATGTTTCTTTCTTTTTTGGTCTCAATAGATTTCGTTTTGCTCTTGATAATAATGGTGGGGAAATATAGTAAAACCTCCCCTACCACCATCATTCCTTCCTTCCTTTTATCTATCTCTATATCTCTATCACTCTTTCTGTGAGTGAGTTTATATTTGCTGTGTACCAATTGTTGATTTTCAATGAAGAAGTATGGTCTGGATGTATATGAATGAACTTGTTTGTTTGTTTGTTTGATGGTTTTCTTGTGTGTTCGTGCTGTGGTGCGTATTGTATTGTAGTGTAGTGTATTGTAGTTGCTTGTGTTTGTTTGTATGTTTGTGCATTTGTTTGAATGAAATTTTTTTTGTTCTTTTTCTGGTTTGGCAGCATTTGTATTTTTTTTTTACCACAGTGACCGTACCCAACTCGAACTCTGGGGTGGAGGTAAAGGTTGTGCAATCTCTGTTGAATAATACTCAATCTGTGCCTCTGGTTGTTTCTGTGGTAATTCGCTGTAGTGTGAATGTCTTTTTGAACTGTTTCTGTTGTTCTGTTGTGGAACTTGATAGCTAGGCGCCTCCTTGAATGCAACAGCAGCTTTGAGACTAGCAGCAAACAACATGTAGAGTGCCTCTGAAATATACTCATGCAGCCGGTACTCTTCATCAGCCTCCAGAAGCAGTTTGACACATTCGATCATAAAATTCTGGATCTTTTGGATGATGTTGTACTGGGTATCCAGCCAAAGAAGAAGTTGCAGGAAATATCCAAATAAGAAGTACAAAATATCTAAATATAAAAATTGTATTGAAATACAAAATTTATAAGCACGATATTTTCATTTCACAGATAAATTATATATATAGGTTTTATTACCTGGCAAAGGAGATCGCTTGACTGCTACGGCACAGGATACCGAAGTGCTAATCATCAGCTGACCGAATCGCTTAAAGCGATGGATAGGATCAGAGGAAGATGTCATGATAGGAGGAGACGAACGCGTGGTGGTCTGTTGATAAGTTTCGGATCTATTATTTCTTTGCTGTCGCTGCTGCTGTTGTTCTACTGATTGTGATGATGATGATACTACTGGCAAGTCTTGGCTGCCATATTGGGAAGCATGATTCTTGATATTGCTAATGACCCCCATGGTATTTGTAATCCTAGAAAGGAGGTTTGAAGACTCAAGAAACGCCCTTGGTTCATTGTGTGTGACAATGTGTGGCTGCTCGGTTGAGGCTTGGATCGACAATCTCTGCTTTTGTTGCTGTTTCTGGCTATGTTGTGCGCCAAGGTTCAAGATACCCACACGTTCTTCCACGCTGTGTCCAAATAATAATAAATATAATAAATATAAAAACGTGTTTTAGAAACAGGAAAAGTGTCAGGATAAATATATATTATATATTATATATTGAAACTAATAGTAGTTAATTTAGAAATTTACCTAAATAGTTTTTCACGTAAAGCCAACTTTGTCTTTGGATCGGTCTTGTCTATTAAGACAACCAATGAGATGAGACAAGATTTATAAAACATTTAGATGTACATATAATTGTACATAAAAATATATGCATTTATGTATATTTTATTGTGGTCTTTTGTGGGTTTGTGAAACTTACTTGGCAAGGCCATTAATATTTTATCCAGACCCGTCAAATAGATATCCAAAGCAACCGACTCATTGCCGTCGTCATACTCATCAGCCGCAATAGAAACCAATTTCATGCCCTGAGAAATACTTCGACGATCCAGGTTTGCGGCCTGTTTACTGTTATTGGTATTATTACTATTACTGCTGCCCATTAGAGCAGCAGTGTCGTTTCTAATTTTTTCAGCTAGGAAACTCATTTCCGAAGTCCATGATGTGCTAGGAGACGGGACAGGACTAGAGTGAGGGCTATGGTTGTATGGTGGAGGCGATTGTAAGTGCGATTGGGATTGAGATTGTGCCTGTGCCTGTGCCTGTGGTTGTGAAGCAGCCATTGTTGTTGCCGCTGTTCTGGATTGGGCGTGGTAAACTAGTGCACTGACATCAGAGTCTGATTCAGGAAGAGCGAATCGAGATAGATTCGAAGTTCTTTGTTGATGTTGATGTTGATGTTGATGAGATTGAGGTGTTGGTTTCCGTTTGCTTGACTTTCCAAGAAATGACATATCATCTAGCTTGTTTGCCGAGTGGTGAAGTATTGAAGACACAAAGGAAGTCATGGAAACAAAATAAGAAATATAATTGATTGGATGAATGAATGCTTGGATTGCTTGATGAATAGATGAATAGATAGTTTTCTTTAATGGACCAAAGGAGGAATTTCTGATGAATATTTATATTTGTATTATCTCTTTCTTTCTTTCTTTTTTTATTTTTTTAGTATTATATGTTTAAATACTATGAGTTTGCTCTTTGACATGTGATTTCTAGAATAGCAATTGTGATGTCCGATTGAAAGGGAAAAAAAACAAGGGTTTTTTTTTCTTTCTTTTCTCTCTTGGAGCTATGGAGTTTGAAGCCAATGGATTTCATTTGGAAATTACCAAATTCTACAATGTTTTTTTTTCTTCTTCTCTTATTTCTTTCTTTCTTTTATTTATTTATTTCTATAGGTCTATCTCCTTGGAAACAATAGCGATCTAAATATATATACAGATATCAAAATAAAAGTATATCCTCAAGAAATCGACAATTGGTTGGAGCTATTTTTATTTTATTTATATATTCAACTATTCCTCCTCTTCTTTTAAAGAAAAAAAAATAATCTGTCGCTAGGAAACTAGATATTAACTTTTTGTTACTATTGGCAACCAAAAAAAAAAAAAAGTTTGTGTGTACGTGTGTGCAACACTGATTTTATTTTTATTTTTATTTTTTATTTTCGGCAAGGTCGGAACATAGTAACCATCCTGTCTAGTTTACATTCTCCGAAAGGTCAGCTGTGTTGCCATGACATCCAGAACAAGAGACAACATTATATATATATATATATATATTATTATTTATTATCAATCTCCTTTTTATTAAATAATAGTAATAACAAAACAACGATAACAGTAACTATGGTGATGATTAAAGATTTAATTTTTAATAGAGTAATTTATCATCATAGATACTCCTTGTTTATTCAGGGAGTAGATCGAAAAGAAACACACACACACAAACGCATATATATATATATAAATCTACGAACCTATAGTAAGAAATATATTAACCAAAAAGTAATAGTATCACTGACACGAGAACTAAAGGAAAAATAAAATAAAATAAAATAAAGATAAGAAGGCTAACCAGGGGTACCCTCTTGATACAGTGTTTTTTTTTCCTTCTCTTACTTTCTTTTTTGGTTATTCTATAATTACACTCACAACCTACAACTTACGACCTATACGCACACATATAAATATATAAATATGTATACAAATATTCTCTGGTTGTTATCCTCCCAAACTTCTTTACCGCGTGCACGGTCCCCTGGCTGGGAACATCAAAAATTGACTGGTCTACAAAGGACAAGAATACACATATAGTTTTGGCGGATAATAAAGATGCATTTTTTATTTTATTTTATAATCTTTATCAGTACTATTGTATAAACTTTCTTTCTTTCTTTCTTTCTTTATTTTATTTTATTTTTTTAAAAAAAAAAGGATTATATATATATATATTTGTGTTTGGATTTATAAATATACTAGAGATCTTCACGGATAAAGAAAAGAAAAGAAAAAAAAGAAGAAACAAGGAACACAATAGGTATATTCTTTTGTTCATTGTATGTCAATTCACGTGTTAACAAAGACGAAGAAGAAGAGTTACATCTGTTTCTAATGGTTTATCCCTCTCCTACCCTCTCCTACCCTACCCTACCATTTTCTTTTTTGGTTATCCCCACTCCTTTTTATATTTATATTTATATGTTGTACGTGCTTTACTTGTTGTACTTGTTACTTGTTACTTGTTACTCCGGATTTTTTTGTTGGTGCATGGGAGAAGACAGTGGGTTAGGTGAGACACATTTGTGCATAAAGATAGATATATTTTTTTGATATTATTGGCTATCAAGAACTTGAGGTCGATACACAAGAACGTCTTACATTTTATTTATTTATTTATTTAGTTATTTATATATTTGGATTTATTAAAACAAAAATGCAAACCAGAAACTCAAAAAAATAAATAGAGTGAAAGAAGCTTAGACTTATTTTATTATGTTCGAGTATCCAAAAAGAAAAAAGAAGACATCATTTTATTTTTACCCAAATTTTTGAACCAAAAAAAATAAATAAATAAATTATTTCTTGAAAATCTGATAATAAAATAGATGTTTATCTAAAGGGAAAAGGCTATCAAATACTTGCTCTACACATATACACAGATTAGTGGATAGATAGATAATCATTTCTTGGTACTAGTACTAATACTAATATTATTATTATTATTATTATTGGATAAGAATTATGTACGTGTGTTTCTCTCTTTTGGTTGTTTGGCTTTGCACAGACACTGAACGTTTGTGTGTCCTAATTCCTTGTGTTCAAATATTTTATTTTCTTAAAAAAAAAAAAACTCAAGATAAAGATCAATTGTATATCTTACTATCAAGCCCAACTCTTGTCAAAACAAAAACAAAAACAAAATAAGGCTTGGATTTGTTTGAATGTGATGATTTCTACATGTCATCTATACTCATGATGTTATAACACAAGAGCAACCAGACCATTTGACATATCATTATCATCATCATTATAATTAAAGGTTATTCTTAATAGTCAGTAATAGTAGCCAAATGCGTTATATAGATATATAAGCGTATATGGGCTGTAAAGAGACAGAGACAGATACGGAACAAGAACCAGGTTTTCTTTATAACATGTACATTGGTGTATGTATATATGTATTTATGTATGCATTTTTGTTTGTGTGTTTAGAATTATAACAATCTTTTTTCATTTATAATTTTTTGTAAAGATTTCTTTTTTAGTATTTTTTATATAGTATTGTAATGTAGTTTTAGTGTAGCGTAGTGTAGTGGAGTGTAGTTGTAATTGTTTCATGTTCATTCATTGCTTTGTTGGTCTGATTTAGGCAGCAAGAGGTTTCTTTTCAGGACGAGCAGATGCTGAGCCAATCTTCTTCCACAGCTCAAGTGCTTCTTCGGCACGTTCACGCACAAGGTCATCAGTAGCATCAGAAATAGCCTTTGTGAAGGTACGCTGGAGCTGAGGCATGAATGGTCTCAAGTGCATTGGTACCTTTGTCAGAAGCAAACTATAAAATAAAGAATGATTATTATTAATATTGAATATTAAAGCAATTCATGTCATTTGTATATATATATAGATAGATAGTTGGATATCTTACCTCAATGTTTGTAAAATGGCAGCCTTGACCTGGGAAGGATGACGATCACCAGCAATACGAATGAGAGGACCAGTGATTTGAGTAACAAATGGCTTAAGAGCATCAGGTGATGTACGATCAATGAGATCACCTAATATAAAGTATTATCATTAGTATTAGTATCAGTATTGGTACTAAAACTATATACATATATCATATCACAATGTCATTTATGTGTCTCTTGTTTTTTTTTTCGGTTAGTAACAAAAAAAAAAAGGCAGATTTACATACCAACACCAAGGGCAGACAATTCACGGCACTCTGTGTTTCCGTACATAAGACCTTGCAAGAAGATGGGCAGAATAGGGCTGATACCCTTGGGGAGACAGAAACCGGCAACATCACAGCCAGCAACACCAACACGGCGAACGGATCTGCGGACAGGTGCAACAAGTTCTTCGTACTCGTCCTTGGGGACAGACTTTGTGATTGCGCTGAGTGCTCTCCAGGCAGCAGGCACGACCTTTGGCGAACGATCACCGAGGAGGGTGATCAAGAGATCAAGCCAGTTAGGCACATACTCTGATGCGTCGAGCTCACTCTGGGTGTAGAATGCAGCCGTGATGTCACATGCACAGGCTCTCTTCTCGGGGAAGTCACTGCGGACGTATTCCTGGAGAGTGGTCATGAGAGTATCAAGTCCCTCCTCGTCTTCGATTGACATCATCAAGGTGTTGGTCGTGATCGTCAATTGCTCCAGGACCTCCTCGTCCTCTTCGACCATTCTAGACTCCACAAGCGCAGACAGGATGGTTGTCAGGCGTCTGTTCAGTGCAGAACCGGCAACTGTGACAAGCGATCCTAAGGCACGTGCGTTGAACGCAGTAATCGGGACAGCCAGTAAGGTTGGGATAAGGACAGGGAAGACCACGTTAGCACGGACAGCCATGATTTCCTTGAGTGCCGAAAGTGCATAGACCGAAGAATCGTCCGATGACTCGAGCTGGTTGAGTAGAGATGGAAGAATATCGTCAATGGCTCTGGCACCAACGTTCTGGTGAAGAGTGTCAAAGGCTAATAAGAATAATAATAACAATAATAATAATAATAATAAATAAATAAAGAAAAGAAAAGAAAATTGAGTTTTTGTTAATAAAAGTACATATATGCATTTGATTTATTCTCTTACCTTGAGCAGCAGCTTCTCTGACCTCAGCTGAGGGATCACACAATGCCTTGCGGATAGTAGGAATAATACGTTCAGCAAAGTCAAGCACCTGGACCTTTCCTGCAGCAGCCATGATCTCACTGAATGCAACAGTGACACCCATTCGTACAGCCTCGTCCTTGGAATCCATGCACTCTTCAAGAAGAGGCAAGGTCTCGGTGAATACATTCTCACCCAACTTGATAACAAGTTCGGACAAGGTACGACCAGCCACTGCGCGCTGCTCGTAATTGTCACTCGACAGATTGGCAATAATCATCGACATCATAGTACCCAAAATATCCTTAAGGGTACGAGGAGTGTTGCTAACCAATGCCTTCCAGACCTGGAGAGAAGCCTGGCGAACAATACCAGAAGCTACAGAAAGAAAGAAAAGAAAGAGAAAAAAAGTTAATATAAATAAATAAATAAATTAAAAAAAAAGCAATAAAATTCTGGAATACTAGACAAATAATAATAATAATAATAATAATATTGGTACTTTACCATCCTGGCGAACAATATAAAGGGCAGCCAAAATACGATCGCGTCTCTCCTTGCCAAGAATATCCAACAACTGCTTCTTTTTTCCTTCGTCGGCTCCGTAATCCTCATCACCATCGTCATCGGGTTTGATTTCTTCGTAGTTACCCAATCCCTTGGATCCCTTGGGACCAACTGTACCAGTGATACGGAACAGAAGATCTCCGACAAGCTGGACCGAACTCTGGCGAATACGCCAGTTGTTGTCGAACAGACCTTTTTCGAGTTCGGGCAGCAACAGGTCGACAGCCTTGGTGGCATAGTTGGTCACGATCATGCGACCGGCACGCAGTGAGGCCTCGCGCACGAACTCGGACTCGTCCGCAAGACCGACCAGGATCGGAGGAATGATGCGGCCCAGGTAAGGCTGGAAGCGGGTGCCAAAGGTTGCAGGCAAGTAAATGAGGAGCGAAATGAAGCCTTCGCGGACATAGGCACGAGGACTGTCGGCATTCGAGATGATCTCGGGCAACAGACCGTCCAGGCGCTCGAGACCAAGACCGGCCAGGACCTCGGAAAGACCCTGGGCAGCACCCTGGCGGTCGACACTGCCGGTGTCGGTCTTGAGGGTATCCAACAGCTCGGGCACAAGTCCGACGAAGTTGTCCTCGCCCATCTTCTCGACCAGGCAGCCGAGCGCCTTTGCGGCCGTGCCGCGGGCATCCGGAACAGGGTCGGCCAGGACAGCCTTGACGCCCGGCAAAACCAAGGGCAAGTAAGGAATCAGATCTTTTTGGTCGGTCAGCGAAGCCATGTTGCCGACAATCTGGGCAGCCTTGGTCTTGACTTCGGTACCGCGCTCACGCAGACCACGTTCGAGGATCGGCATGACCAGGGCCAGCGAAGGCGGGTCGATGTAATGGACAAACGAGGTGCGCAGAAGAGCAGACAGAGCACCCATGGTCTTTGAGTTCGGGTCGCTCAGAGCCTCGAGCAAGACAGGCACAAGCTCCTGGATCTCGGGGTTGCTGATCACCTCACCGAACTGGTGCAGCGAGCGGTTGGCGGCGGTCTGGACCTGGGCGTGGGTGTCGGCCAAGACTTCGGTAATGCGAGGAATGATGTTCGGAAGAGACACAGAGAGCTGCTTGGGGGCACAGTAGGCCATGGCACCCAAAAGCTCGACCGAGGCCTTCTTGGTACGCCACTGGCGGTCGTCGAGACCGGTCAGGATCGAGGGCAAGATGAGCTTGACACAGTGACCACTGATCTTGCTCATAATAACACGCGCGGTATCTGAGGTGGCCTCTCTGACGTCGAGGTTGGTGTCGCCGAAGCAAACAAGAAGAAGAGGAATGACCTGGATGATGTAGGGTTCAAACAGACGGCCCAGAGTAGCCGACAGAGTCTCGAATGCAAACAGGGCACCCTGCTTGTACTCGTAAGGGCGCTTGAAATCAATGGCGTCCTTGAGCTTGGACATGATGCTGCATTCCTTGAGCGCAGTGATACCACGGCCCTTGACCACACCAGCCAGACCATAGGCCGCACCACGGCGACCGGCGTACTTTTCGCTTCTGAACAGCCTGTCCAACAAGGTTTCGGAAATCGCGGGCACGTCTTCCTTGATCATCTTGATCAGAGGTGGAAGGCACTCGGACACGGCACTCTGGACGACCTCGGAAGGTGTCTCGAGAGTCTCGATGAGCTTGTCGACCGCAGTACGGACCTTGGGGTCGCCCTGTTGCAAGTAACCCGCAGCACCGCCGTAGAGAATGACGGCTGACTGGCGAATGTAGTCATGGGTCTGGTTGTTAGGAGCCTTGGTGTTGAGGTAGGTCTCATAGATCTTCAGGAAGTCCTGGACAGAGTCCTTGCCGTAGGTCTTGATTGCGGCCAGACCGGCTTCAACCATCAGCTTGCGGACACCTTCGTCGCGGTCACCCAGGGCCTCGTCGTTGATAAGGAATCTGGAGAGGCTCAGGGCGTCTTCGAGCGAGATGTAAGGAGCAGAGGCCTTTAATGTGATGGCCAAGCCAGAGCGTGCTTGCCAGGGGTCCTGACGGTTGAGAGTTTCGGGAATGACCATGCCGTATTGATCGAATTCAGGATCAAGAGGAGCAGCCTATACATTTATTTATTTATTGATTTTGTTTTCTTTAGTTTATTGATCATCTTTTTTTTGTATATATGTGTATATGTACCTTTTTCTTGTACAAGGCATAGATGGCCTCGAGAGTATCAGTGGCAGTTTCAGGATAGTGTTCTAATGCCTCAGCAATGGATCGACTGGCAGCAGATCTGACAAAGGCAATGTCGGAAACTAAATACAAAGTCGGTCAGTACCTTTGATTTTCTCTCTTTCTCTTTCTTTCTAAATGAATAAGATGTACTTACCAGCATAGTCCAGCAATTGTCCTTTGTAAGCCTCGTCAACCTCCATGGCATTGTCTTGCCATTGGATCTTTGCCAACTCGGCGTTTGTCTCATTGTCATCGTGACATGCGACCCAAAGTTCGGGTGAGTAGTCAATATCTGTCAAATCAAGAAGCTAAAGAGAAAAAAAAAATTTAGTAAATTTATTGTAAATATAAATATATAATGTGTGTGTGCTTTTATAAATTAAGTTTCTTTCTTACCTCCAAACCCTGTAGAGCTGCATGGCGAACAAGTGATTCGTTTGACAAGAGACCGTTGAGCAAGGCATTGATTTCATCAAGAGTGACATTGTCGGCCATGGCCTCACACAAGGAAATCAAGGCCAACTTGGCGCTCTTGGTGCACTGGGGGTACTCCTTGATGCTCAGCAACAGACCGTTGATCATCTCCTTTCGAGGCAAGATTGTCGAGTCACCCTGGGGGCAGTGGAAGCCAATGATGTCGATCGCCATGGTGATCTGGGCCAACTCATTTTCGCTGTCCTCGTCCTCGTCCTCGGGACAGTCGATGCCGCCCTGGACAAGCACCTGCTGGAGTACGGGGAAACAGTAGGCAAACGACGAAGGTGGCAAAGGCTGGCTTTCGGTGATGAAGCGCAGGCGATAAAGAATGCGGGCCACCAGGTCTCCCAGGGGCTCGTCGAGCCAGCGGGACGGGATCTGGTCTACGTTGTTGGAACGCAAGGTGGCCAGACCGATGGCTTCACGGATCGGAAGAATGCTATCGGTGACGCAGAGGCCGATCTGGAGGTAAGTGTTGGTGATGTCGTGGCCGACCAAAAGACCGGCATTCTTTTTGGTGGCCAGGTCAAGCAGGACGCGCACCAGGATAACAAGGTGGTCCGAGAGTGCCTCGACATTGCCGGAGACCAGGGCACGCACGATGTGGAGTCCGAGAGTGATCTTTTCGTAGACCTGCTGCACGTGGTCGCGGATCTCGTGTTCCTTTTTACGCTGGGCGTCAAGAATGACCTGCTCTTCACGGGTAAGCTTCTGGGCGGTGGTGATACCCTTCTTCTTGGCCAGCTCGGCACGCAGCTCCTCTTCCCACTTTTGGTCTTCGTATCCCTTGCGGTTACGGTTGTCAGATACAACAGACTTGTTCTTTTTGAGAACTAGATATCAACAGAAAAAAAAGGGCAGCAAGTATAAATTTAATAAGTATGTATGTATGTCTTGTTTGTTTATAGGATTAAGTGTTATAGGTTTTGATATTAGTATTTTACCATCAACATAAACCTGATCGGCAGGAGTCTGCCAGATGTTGTACTCCAATTCATTGATACCCTTCATCAGACTAGTGTCCAGGTTTGCCTTGATGATATCTATAAATGCAGGGATCGAGTTTGGTGAAATGAACACCAAGGTGGAGATTGCAGAAATGGCTGCTTCATAAAACAACTCGGACTAAGTAAAGAAAGAAAGAAAGAAAAGAAAAAAAGATTTAGTAATTGATTGCTGATATAAAACAAAAACAAAACTCGAATACATGTATTGTATTTCAGTCTAATTTTGATGAGTCAATTATACCTTTTTTCTGTCAAGAAGAGTTTCCATCAAAATATCCTTGATTCTCTCAAAGTGAGTCTTGACCAACTTTCCAGGGTCAACATTTACACGTTGAACCAAAGTGATCCAGTTGTACTTGTCAGAAGGAGAAGCTGATTATCATTAAAAAAATAAGTTGTAGATTTGTTGACATGATCATAACCGTAGTCGTGGTTACGGTTATAAAGGTGGTCATAAATTATATATAATAATAAAAGGTATTTAGGTAAGTTTCAATTGTTATTTCAATATTATATATATATATATATATATATAACTAATAATAATAAAAAAAAAATAGAGTGCATACCAATATATTTGTGATGAGACAAGATCATAAGCTCTACCAATTCCTTTTTTTTGATTTCGGCAGGAATGTCACGGTCAAAGGAAGTAATGGTCTTCAATACACTGGCAAGGCGATAAGTAGAAAGTTCAGAGTTGAAGTTTTCGGCACTGTGGGCAGCAACTGCAGTAGAATCCTTTGTCTTTTGTTCAATCTTTTTTTTTTTAAGAATAAAAAATTAAAGTGATTAATGAATATTCAATATTTTGCTTATAACAAAACAGAAAGAAAGAAAGAACTTACATCCAATAACCACTGCTTCAGGGCTAGCTTCATAAATGTACAGAGCATCTCGGGCTTCTTGGCAGAAATGACCGATGTCTCTTCGTATGCTGCTCTTCTGACGGTGTGTTCGGGATGGCTGGTGATGATCCAGATCAAGGCCTGTGCGCAGAGGTATCCAGCTCCGCTCTTTTCCAAAGATGCCTGGATCTCGTTTTCAAAGACGTTTGTCAGAGCTCTGACCAGCCAGAGACCTTCTTCGGGAGCGATTGCCTTTGTGTAGATGCGGTCCCAGAGCAAGAAGCTCGGCTTGGGTGTGGTGACCAAGACCGACGAAGGATACTTGTGTTTCTTGAGCAGGTCGGTTACCGGCTGAGGTAAAGTAGGCCACTGTTCGAGGCGACCCGAGATGACGGCAACCAGAACATAGGCTTCCAGAGGTCCGTCTTTCCAGACAAGAGGCTTGTCGGAAATCTTGTCAAAGGTTGTGAAAAGAGCCTGGAGGTACTTGATCACATTGGCGCTCAAGGTCTGGCTGGTCTGGATGGTGTCTTGTTTGCGGTCCCAGAGGGTGTGGCCGACCGCAAGAGCCCAACTCTTGCGGACCAAGGCTTTGGGTGCCGTAAGTCCTTCCGAAGAAACCTTGACGGCCTTGTCGACGATGTCCTTGTGCGAAGAGCAGTATTCGTCGTTGTAGATCAGGACGGTCAGGTGACGTCCGACACCATCGACCGCAGCAGACATGGCCTGCTCGTTGGACTCCTTGGCCATCATCGTAAAGTATCCCTCGAGGGCCTTTTGGCTGACCAAAGGCTCGGCAGCCTGGGCCAGGGCCGAGAGTGCATGGTAGACAACCACACGGTGTTCCCAGGAACTAACCTTACCGGAAATCAAGAGCTTCGTGAGTTCGCTGACGATCTTTGTCAAGGGTTCGAGTTCGTGTGACACCAGGGTCAGGGCGTTCCAGAGAATGGTGGCTCCAGTGCGGACTGCGGCAGATGTGGAACGCAGGTGGTTCAGGAGAGGTTCGAGCCATTTTTCGGCAAAGATGCTGGAAATATCAAAGGACAAGGAAGGGATGATACGAGACAATGCTACAATAGAGATATAGAGATTTACACACACACATTTATATATAATGATAGGTACGTAGATAGGAAGGTAGGAATAGAGATCGAGAAAGAGAGAAGAAGAAGAAAGAAAGAAAGGAAAAACAAACATTTCAATTATTATGTGTGTACAGTGTTATGTTGTTATTAATATTATTATTATGATGATGATGATGGTAATGATGATAATGGTTATAATGACGATAATGATAATGATAATGATGATAATGATAATGATGGTGTTTAGGATTTTTTTTATGATTATGTTTAAGAAATAATATATTATTGAAATCATGTATTATTGTTGTAATTGATTCTTTTTTGTTTCAAGTAGTGCTTTAAAGAAGTGTGTATATGTGTATGTAGTGTATGTCTTTTGCAGTCAAGTATCTATTGTCTGGGTGTGTGATATGTGTGATATGTGCTTTTGTGCGTGTGTGTCGTATATAGTCTCGCTTTATCTTTCTTCATTGACCATCTAATTGATATATACATATTCGCACTTACACTTACACTTACACTTACACTTACACACACTATCATTTACTCATTTACTCATTTACTCACACATACACACATACACATATACACATATATAGATATGTACTTGGGTATATGAACTGCTTATATATCTATATAAATCTTACGTACCTGGTAAAACAATTTCGGGGGATCTGAGCATCATCTTCTCTAGGGCAGGCACGTACTGTTGCACGAAATCGTCTCTGGAGATGACCTTGTTGAAGAAATCGTTAAAGGAATCCAGGACTGATTCAGGAACAGATGGAGTTTTGGATGAAACGATGTTTTTGAGGTAGTAGTCGGTCAGCTTTGACTTTTGATCCTCGACCATCTGGACGCCGTTTGTGGCAGTCTTTAGCCGCAGACTGGTGTCGACAATGGTGCCGATGAGGACTGCATTGCGGTATTGAGGTACACAGGTCTGTGCGTTTGAGAATGCGATTTCGAAAAATGCTGGGATTAATGTGTGGTTCTGTCTAATGCAACGTCTGACATCTGCAAATGAACTCTTGCCGATCGTCCTCTTTTCGTCTGGGGTAGCCAAACTATCCAACAAAAGAGCTTGGGTCTGGATCAATAATCCAAGCACAGGTGAGCTACTGGCAGCTGTAGTTATAGGTGTATCTGTGATATTTGCTGACAAATTGTTAATGACAAGAGAAATCAAGAGATCGACCCAGGTCAATAGGATAAATCGATCTGAAGCGGGTGTTACGGCGGTTCTATATACAATTATTGGATGTTAATTACATTGGGATTTATCAAGTGTGTAAATATTATCAATATTATTATTACTGCGCCACCACCACTGCAACCACTGCAACCATTAATATATATATATATATATATAGGTATAATTTTCATTAATTTATTTTTGTATGTGTGTGTGTGTTTGTGTATTTACGCACACACACACGTACACAATGGTACGCATTAATTGTGCACAATAGCAGTAAAAACAAACAAAAAAAAACTCACCCGTTTGAGGATTTCTTGGTGATTTTCTCGGCTTCTTTTGCCAAAGCAGGTACGATTGACTTTTGGAAAACTTCTGGGTTCAAATTGTTGATTTCCTTGAGTACCTGGAGAATAGCCAGACGAGAGGCACGATCGTGGTAGCGTGTGTATGTTAAGAAGATGAGGTGAAGAAGGGCAGGAAGAACCTCGATTGGCATGTCTGTGATGAATATATATTAAAAAAAAAAGAATTAATTAACGATTATTATAAAAACCGAGATCGCCCTTTCTTTTTTTTTTTTGCTTTTTTCTTAATTATGAAGCATGAACAAACGAAAACGAAAGAATTTAATAGAATGGTATATACAAGAAGAAGAATAAAAAAAAATAGTTTCTACTCTGTTTGTTGAATTTCTCGTTTTTTTTATTTTTAATTTTTTTTACCTTTGCGACGAAGACGAATGAGTAGGACATTGTTCAGAAATTCGATTCTGTCGTTTACACTAGATTTCGTGATAGCTGTGACGACTCTGGCCTTTATGAATTGAGGCCAGTCAAGAGTACCACTTGTCTGTTCTTGTTGTTCAGACATTTATTTAAAGTAGTATTTTTCTTTGGTCTTCTTTAATATATATTTATATATACACAATATATAATATTATTATTATTATTTTTGTTGGTTTTTGAACAGAGAAAAAAAAAAGCAAGTTAAATTTTTGTTTTTTTTTTGTTTTTTTTGTTTTTTAATTTTTTTTTTTTAATTATTTTTTCTATTATAAAAAAAAATTAACAATTCCGCAAAAATATACAGACACCCATTTTTTTTTAAAGAAAAAAAAAAAAGAAAAGGCTAAGGACAATCATAGATTCATTTTTGCAAATTTATCTTACTACGCACACTCACATAAAATCACAGTAATTAAATCCCCCCCCCCCCCTTTTTTTTTTGTGATAGTTTGGAAAGGATATACAGCGGTTTGTCTAAATAAATATTTTAGACAATTATTTAATGGATATTTAAATTTGGGGCTTCATTAAAACATTCGAGCAATAAAAAAAATGCGATTTTAGATTTAGATAAAACGCTGTGGATGCTCTAATTATTCAATTTGGCTTCTTTAGCACGTCCTGTCAGCGTCCCACCAACATGTCCATAACATTTCCCTTTTTTTTTTAAAAAAAAAAGGCAGAAATTCATCTTCACATATATATAATTGGATTATATTCTTTAATTCTTATGAGAATATCAAATACCATGCCAGGTTCTTCTTCGTCTTCTTATGGGTGTGTCTGTACGTGTGCTTGTGTGCCAGTTTGTAGTGTGTAAAACAATAGATATATTCTGGGTACAAAAACGGGTCATAATCCGCAGTATTCAAACGATAAATGAATAGTATGATTGGATGATGTTCTGTACAAGTATTGCTGCTGTTGATATTTATCTATCATCCAACATTATGATACAATCAATTGATTAATCAGTAAATACATCACAAGAGAATATATTGCTTTGAATAGAAAGCAATACAGAACCATTAATATGCCATGGACACCTCAAATGGTCAAAATAAAATTTAAATCAAAACTGCTCCACAAATCCTTCTTCTTCTTTTTTTTTTGATACATACACAACATACACATATACCAGCATCTAATGTGCGTCACCTGCAAACCCATGTACATGTGCGTACTTGATAGCCCTGCTTTGGTCTTTAAACCAATAAATTAGTATTATTTTGATCCAAATTTCTTTGTAATAAAAGAAAGATTTAAAGAGGATGAGAGTGAAAAAAAAAGAGGGCAATATTTGATCCTAATTAGAGTCACTTTTATGTATTAAATCTGGATATTGAATTATAATTGGATAATGAAATGCTGAATATTTAATACAAATACAAATAACTCTTGTTCGATCTACAATGTTATACAGCAAGCATTATCAGGAAGATTGCTATATTTTGCAGTTTATAATATGACATAATAGGCATAGATCTGCAAACTATAGAATTACTAAAAAAAAAATCATAAAAATAACGGTAATTAAACAAATCTGTGATACCAATTATCTTGATCAAAAATCCGTATACTTGAAACCTATTCTATTTCTCTTTTTTTTTTTTTTAGTTTTTAGTTTTTAGGGCGAGTCTATGTTTCAATTTGTCTCAAATAGTTTCAAATCAATTTTAATATGTTTCAATATGTTTCAATCGGGGGGGTTTTTTCTTTAATCTAATTTAAAATGATTTAATTTAATTTAATTTCTTATTCTTCTATAATTGAGAAGCCTATGATGTCTGTTGTCACTGTAGAGAACAATGTAATATTTGTTGTTGGACCCCACATTTACTACGCTTTTACAGTAAAAAAAAAAGAGATTAAATAAATAAAGCACTAAGCACTAAGCACAGAGTACTAAGCACAGAGTACAAATCACTAGGCACTAGGCACCAGGCACCGGCACCAAGTATAATCGTCATTACCGTCATAATTATCGTAAATATTCTAGACCTTGGTTGATTATGTAAAATAGTCAAGTTCACATTAGACATCGGTGATAATCCGCTATTTTCTCTCTATCTCTTTTTGGTAGGCTAAAATAAAATGAAATATATATATATATATATATGTTCTAGTGTTTGTACAAAAGTAGGTTCTAGGCCACTTGTCAAAATCATTCGCTTTCTCTCTCTCCTTCCCCTTATTACTTTGTCAATGATCAACCTTGGTCTGTAATATGTATATAATTATATCTGTAGATATGATAATCAAAAGTATGTAATACAAAAAAAAAGAAAATAGAGATACATATCAAGTACTCTATTAATTGGACGTTTTTTTTTTACAACTGGTTGATCATCTTTCTTGAATGCATGCGTACATATATTTGGTTGCCATCTTATAAAGTATATATATACATATAAAAGGGTGGTTTGTTAATTACTGGTTAATTGCTTTATTGGTTATAGTTTCTTTACAAAACGCATGGTAAGCTAGTGCATAACTAATGTTTTTTTTCTGTATTTTAAAGGCTATTAAACCAAACTATAAACTATATAGCTTTCTCTTTGAGTTCATTACACAGATCGCCGCCCTAAAAATACACAGACAAACAAATAAACCATAAAAAAAAGAGAGAGAGAGAGAATGGAATATATCGTACAAAAGACTTGGCACTAAAAAGATAGACAAGAAAACAAGCATAGTAAAGACAATGTTGCTTGTATTTATGGAAAAAAGGAAATAATATGATTTGAACAAGAGGTTGTTATTAATATATAAAGTACTCATATAATCTGTCAACTATTTTGTGTGTATATATATATATATATCTAATTCAAATGTCCAAGTATACATTGTGTGTACTTGACAGATAATCTAGGTAAATCTATTCTTGTTCTCTCTTTTGGTGACTTGCATGGTAATAAATATACATATAGAAAGGGAGCCAATCAATAAAAATGCTTTTATTTGATGTGTAATCCTTGTCAGGAGTAGTACTTTGGTTCTCTTGAAATATAGAGACATAAGCCTGTGCATTTTCAGTTATTGAGGAGGAAATGTAAATGGAAGCACCTAACATATATATATATATATAATTGGTTAAGAATTGAGAACAAAATACATTACATTATAAAAAAAGATAAGAAGAAGGGGTTGAAAAGAAGGGTTTCTTCAAGGTAAACAGGAGGGGCAATTATATGTATATAATACATATATATATAAAACAGATGTAGATTTCTATTGCTATCTATCTCTTATTCTTTCTTATCCTCTTGTTCTCTTGTTCTTTTGATATCTAATTATCTTTCTCTCTATGATTTCTATGTATTTTCTGAATATTATTTTCAAAAACCATTAAAAATCATTCAATACATATACATATATATTTGTCCTTAATTGAGTTAATTAATTGACTAAATAGTAGTGGTAGTAGTAGTAATAATAATAAAGATAGCAACAAAATGATTATCGATCAAGAGGCCCGAGATTGGCACAATAAGCACTTGCTGGTTAATAATTAAATATATAACATACTCACTCTTGATACACACTGTGCAGAACCAACAGAACTTTCATATATATATATATATATATATAATTATAATAGAGGGTTTTAAGGCTAAAAACAAAAAACCCTTTTTGATAGTGGCAAAAAAAAAAATAGTAGTAGTATAACCTGGGTTTGTTTTATTTTACTCAGCAAATGTAAAGGATTGGTCAAGACACCTTAAAAGACTTTCAGATTTTTTTTTGCCACTTGCCACCAATAATATTGTGCGTATAATTATATATAAATATATATAATATAGATTCAACACAGAAATTCAAAGTGATAATTAATTTTGAGTATAAAAGCAAACCTACCTTTTTTTTTTTGGCTTGCTTTTCTACATCACCCTCTTACCCTTTACTTACCCACCTACCCACCTACCTTACCCTACATACATACATACATACATACATAAAAACGCTGGTCGTTCTTTATCACCTCTCCTTCTTCTTCTTCATCATCTTTCCTCTTTGATTTCTCAATTCTTCTCTGACAACACAAGTCCCTCTTCATTTTCTATATACATACATACATACATATATACATATATACATATACACATACACATACACATACACATACACATACAACAAATCACAACAAATATGCTTAGAATCACTCTCGCTTCCGTCCTCCTCTCTGTCTTCCTGTCCACATCTACCATCGCTGCACCTGTTATCCAGCGCCGTGGCGAAAGTTTCTCTGGAGACGGCACATTCTACCAACCTGGTCTGGGGTCCTGTGGAAAGCAGAACGATGAGAGCGACATGATCGCTGCCCTCTCGAGTAGCCTGATGTCCCAAGGTCATTACTGTGGCAAGCAAATCACTGTCGAATACGGCGGTAAATCAGTCGATGTGACCATTGTCGATTCGTGCCCGGGTTGCAGCGAAGGAGATATGGATCTTAGCCCGGCTGCCTTTAGCGAACTTGCCTCATTTGACAAGGGTCGTATTCCTATTACATGGTCACTGTAGTAAACCAAACAAACAAAAAAAAGAGGAAGAAGAAGAATAAGAAGAATAAGCTCTTTAACATTCTTTTTTTTTTCTTTTTCTTTTTCTTTTAACACTCGTCCTACCTTTGTTACACATTACGCTATATTATATTATATATATAGCCAAAGAAAAGATAAATCCAAGTAATCGGATATCGACAAGATCTCAATTTTCTATAGTTATTTTGTCCTTTTTTTTTTTTTCTAAAACATGTAAGATTCCAATACCCTTTTCCCTATCTTTATCTTTATCTTTTCTGTCTGTGGTTCTATAAAGCCATAGAGCCTTTTCTTCTTCTTCTTCTTCTTTATATATATATATATATATATATATATATATATTGTAGATTCAAATAAATAAATATATATATAAATGTTCACCTTTATATAAGTGAAAGAAACATCAAGCTTATATGTGTGATTACTTGAATGGCGGTTGTTGTCTAGACGGGAAGTGTGGGGGTGAAAGAATAAAAAAAAAAAAGGGGGGGGGGGGGGGATCTGTAGGCAAAAGAGATATACATATACATAATTGTTCTTGTACTTGTACTTGTATGTACATCAAATAAATCTGTTTTATTAGCCTATAGCAAGTTAAAGGCAACAAGGTCCCTATAAATCTTTTATAGTTTGGTCAAGAAAGAATTTTGTAGAAACTTAATATAAATAAAATAAAATAAAATAAAATAAAATAAAAAGGGGGCGGAAAAGAGAGAGAGAGGGGATAGGGCTGTATTACTGAGCTAATAGCTCTCTCTCACTCACTCACTCACTCACTCACACATATACATATATATGTATTCTACACTACGCTACACTACGCTAATGCTATGCTACATCACACAGACAAATAAATAACCAAGCAAGACACCACAACACAATACAATAGAATACTATGATCCTCTCAAATAAGTAAATAAATAAGCAGAATTGCACAGACAGTTTCAATCGAATTAAGCTACCAAAATGCAAGAAAAAAGAGTTAGTCTATTTCTGCAAGAAAGAAGAAGGATAGTGCCTGTCGTTAGTATGTTGATATGTAATGTGTATCCAGACATATTCAAGGGCTGCTGCTTCGGAGCCATCGGACTGGTCTCTGGTCCGGGAACGGACTGTTTGTTGGTGTGGCTGATGTACACAGCATGCTGGTGGTTCATTAGCATATGTATGTATATATACATATGTTTAACTATAGTACTTCTTTATCTTTCTTTTATTTTTATTCTTTAAAAAATACTATAAGGAGAATTATAACTTGCTAATGAACCTTTACCTTTTTTTAAAAAAAAAAGAAATACAGCAATAAAGAACTCTTGTTTATTTAGAGCTTTAAAGGTTCTTTCTATACAACGAAAGAATGAATGAATGAAAAGGTATTAATTCTATATATATATAAAAACACATAGAGTACGTTATATATTTTGTAAATATATGTAAAGAGCCAAATCAATGGTGTCCTTGTCAAAAATATACTCAAGAGCTATCATGTATTCTCTCTATTTTTTTTTCTGCAATAATCCCCCTCCTTCCAAATAATATTAATACAAATTCTTAAAGGTCAACATACATACATACATGTTTGTGTAGATACGCAAAAAGGACCAAATATTGTTCTTTTGAAAATATTTAATCTGAGACATGCAGCTTGAAATATATTTATTTTTATTTTATTTTTTTTTTAAAAAAAAAGATACAGTTATTTTAATACAGCAACAGGGATAAAGAAGTGGCGTGGAATGATATGCTGTGGTGAGGTGAGGTGTGATGTGGAATGAAGTGGCGTAATGAGGCGTAGTGAGGCTGGTTTTGTTTGGTCAGCATATATATATATAACAATTATTATTATTTATTGTCATGCGTTTGATCTCAAGAGGCACTGGCAAACCACAGGAATCTTGTGGCACCCAAATCACTCTACCAGATGATGCATGCCTTTGTGTTCGTATGTAGTGGGTTAAAAGGGAGTATAATGAGAGACGGGAGGAGAGGAGTAGGGGTCTTTCTTTCTTAAGACGAAAATGATGCTGATGATAATGATAATGATAATGACGATTGTTGAAACAAGCCAATTATTGAAACATAAAAAAATGTTTAGAAAAGAAATTTATAGTCTAACAAGAATCCCTGTAGACCTTGGAATCAAAAGAAGAATAGGAAAAATGACAAACTAATATATTAATAGTAAAAAAAAAACCATACGCACACTATACACATCTAAGCCTTGGTTTAAAGACTTTTTCTTTCTTTCTTCAAAAGCCATAAATAAACATGTAATCATTTGTAAAACAAACAAGTAAGTGTATAGATTAATAAATAAATAAGGCAAGAAGTAAGGCTTGGTTTGTTACAAAAAAAAAGAACTTGTTTAAATTCGCCTTGGTAATTTTTACAATGATTCACTTGAAAAAAAAAATAGAGAGTTATAAAAGAGAATACTTCCCTAGCTAAATTAAATTAACTGCATAATTAACAGAATGACAAAAGTCAAGCCCAATTGTTGTATATGTAAGAAAGGTAAAAGCTATGTTCAATATCAATAAAAAAAAGTGATAATAATGATGCCAATGCTATTAAAGCACAAACGCACAAATAAAGAAGCTCATCAGAGTCTAAATCAGGCAAATAAAAGCCAAAAAAGACAGAAATAAATAAATAAATAAAACAAAAAGAGAAACCTTACTTTATTTTTTGTTTTGATTTAATTGGGAATCTGAGGCTGGGATCCTTATAACTATTTAAGAAAATGTGAGACAAGGTTTCAGAGCAATTTTTTTTTGCATGTGTGTGTGTGTATGTGTGTGTGTTTATTTATGCCTATTTTCCAAAGGTACATTTCAACAATAGAACCAAAGAATAATAACAACATCAACATCGACAGTAATAGCAGTAGCAATAGCAGTATCATTATCAGTAGCAGCAGTAGCAACAGTATAAGCTCTTGTTTAATTCTAGCTGCACCTCTCTCTCTCTCTTGTAAATAAAATGGAATAAAATAAAATAAAATAAAATGAAAAGGCCTCTTTTAAATGGATTACCATTGAATACCCAAATCTAGTCTTCTTCTTCTCTTACACCCTTTACCTATAAGTTTTTATAGCTTTACTTTCTCTTATCTAGTCTCTTGTACTCTTCTTTTTTTTAAAAAAGAAAAAAAAAAGTTGATGGTTGCCTTGGTTACTGTTGTCATGCCAACAACAATGTTTATAAAAAAAAAGAAGATAGAATGTGATTTATTGTGATGATTACACTTCTCCAAAGCCTGCTTCAAATCATCTGTTCTTTTCTCAACTTTCTCTCTTTTCTTTTCTATTTTCTCCTATTATTATTGTTATTATTATTTCCTTTGTTTCTTTCTCTTTATCGATAGACCCAACTTTCTCTCTGCCTTCCCATGTTTTCCCAGATTTCCCACCTGTCTTTCTTGTATGCCTGTATGCCTGTATGTCCGTACGTCTGTTACCCCTCCCCTCTCCATATCTACCCCCACGTCCCCTGATTTACTTTAGCTTTAGATCACAAAACTAATATAAATGTAGATTGATCTAGTGGTAAAAGACAATCAAGTATTATTATCTAATTTGTATTTAGCTTATATAAAAAATTAAAGATCGTGAGTACAGGCTGTGTTACTTTACTTTTTATATACATACATACATATACATATACATATACATATACTATTATAGTTTCTTGATTTGATTTGATTTGATTTGATTTTTGATTTTTGTTGAGTTGAAGAAGTAAAACTCAAAATCCCGAAACCAAAAAAAAAAACAAAAACTGTGATCCCTTGTATTGGTTTTTTTTTTTCGGTTTCTTGATTTATTCATTTTGTTTTACCAATAATCGTACAAGATCGCCACTAGTAATAAATTCTGAGCCAATGGTTTCCCCACACCAATGATATATATATATATATATATATATATATAAATATAAAAAGACAGATGTTGTTTGTATTTTTTTTTAGGTATTTTATCCCGCTTTACACAGATCAGAATAATAGTAAAAATAATAATATTTATGTATATATATATATATATATATCTGTTATACACATATACTTGCATATATACAACAGACACAAACACAAACACAGAGACACAGACACAGACACAGACAGATGAGACATTTGAAACATTTAACACGAAAAATGATGCTTATATATATATATATAAATATTAGTTGGCAGTAGTATATTATATATTTAAAGCTAGGTCAAATATCAAATCAGACGGCTTCAAATAACGCGCACACCTGATAATAGTTAACCATATGTACATATATATATATATACAATTCTTTTGTTGCCATGGTTTTTTATTACAAAGAAAAACAATATTTATAAATAATAATAATATATTGAAGAAGTAAATAAAGAAGAAAGAGGGGGAGAGTAAGAGGAAGAGAGAGAGAAAAGAAAGAAAGATAAAGGGGATGGGAGAAGGAAGAAGGGGGGGAAAAGAGGATCAAGATCCAAAATAATAATAACAATAATAATAATAATAAAGGTTGTTGTTGTTGTTGTTGCTGTGGAAACTAATATTATTATTGATAGACCTTGCCCTTATGTATGTTTATATATATACCCAATTATTTTTAAACCAAAGTTTAAAAAGTTAAAAACAAAAGAAAGAAAGAAAAAAAATAAGGGAGTAACTATAGCAACAGATTAAAAATAAAAATAAATAAATAATAAAAAAAAATAAGTAGAGAGCAAGATAGTAAGAGTAAAACCAAGGCTAATAAGTTAACAAGAAACAAAAATAAAATAAAATTAGGTGAGCCATCTGTAGGGTGAAGAAAGAAACGCTTTAGATGTAGTTGGATCAGACAACTCCACGAGGTTGTACAATAAACTCCCCCATTTCATGTGACGCGTTGTTATGACAGAAAAAAGGGTCTGCGTCGGCGTCCGATTGGGTGGTTGTCGGGGGTGGAACGTGCGATTAACCATGGCTACAAAACTTTTACCAGTCAATTTTTTTTTAAACTCTTTCTTACATTGAATTCACCTCCACTTCTTCTTCTTTCTCTTCTTCCTCTTCTTCTTCTTTTTTTTTCTTTCTTTTTTTTTCGTATATATATATTTTATCTTTTTTGTCTTTTTATAATTTAATTTAATTTAATTTATTTTAATTTTTTTTATTTTTAAAAAAATATATATATAATTATATCTTTTATTGATGTATCCAGCCTCTCTTCCTCGTCGCCACTCTCAGTCCTTTGCGGTTACGACTTCCATGGCTGGTACGCTCACTCACCCTCATCAACGTACTCGGTCTCACTCAACCTCTCTGCCTTGTCGTCCCGTCCTCGCCTCTCACCTAATAGCCAGTGTCAACTCGAAGATTAAGGAGATTGAGGATGCGGATACTACAGGATTCCTTCGCTATATGGACGACCAGGTCACTGAGACCTGGGATACAGCAAAGGCAGCTCTAGTTGGAGCACATCGATTACTTCAATTTCATGAATTACCTGCAGAGTGGCAGGAGAACGAATATGTTCATTCAGGGTGTGTAAATATATATATATATATATATATATATAAAACAAGTCATTATACATCTCCCTCTCTATCTTTCAACCCCCCTTCCCTTTCCTTTCCTTTACTTTACTTTACTTTATTATGTGTGTTTAAAATGATTAATAATCCAATGATTTATTATATCTTACTTTTTTTTTTAAAAAAAAAATTATTAATCAATGATATTATAGGTATCGATTCTATCAAAGTAGTAGAGCTTGCTTGAGGTCAATTTTTATGATCCATAATGAAACGATGAATATCTGGAGTCATTTATTAGGCTTTATCTTCTTTGCATGCCTAAGTGTCTATGGTTTCCATGTAAGCAATACAAATTAAGAAAAAGAAAGAAATGTATAGATAAATACACATGGTACATCTTACATGAGCATACATATAAATACATATAAAGAGGTTATTGATAGTCGGGGTTGACTCCAACCTTATATATATATAAATTTTTATTATTTATTTATATTATTAGAGCCATTTCCCGGGTGCTTCATTTAATGACCGGACAATCTTTATGACATTTTGTCTGTCTGCCCTGAAATGCCTTTTTTGCTCTTCGATCTATCACACTTTTATTTGCCACTCTCGTCACACAGTCAAATCATTCACAGCCACACTCGACTACATGGGGATTGCCTTTTTGATCACGGCTTCGGTCCTGGTAACCGAATATTATGGTTTCTATTGCAAGCCGTCCATCCAAGCACGCTACATGGTTTTTACGAGCATTGTTGGTTCTATTGGTATCTTTACTCCATTCCTCAAATGCTGGGATACCCGAGAGTACCGTCCGTTGCGCATTGCCGTCTTTCTGTCCATGGCTATCTCGAGCAGTGTGCCGGTGTTTCATCTCTTTTTGATGAACGGCTTTGGCCCAACATGGTCATTCCTTAAGCTGGCTGCAGTTAGTGTGGCCATGTATGTATTTGGAGTCTGTATCTGTAAGTGGTGATATTGTATTTAAGTATAGTAAGTTAGTTGTATGAAAATCTTGGGGTTATTAACTTTTTTTTTAAAATATATATATATATATATATATTTAATGACAATTAGATGTCAACCGTTTTCCAGAAAAAATGTACCCTGGTCGATTTGATTTTGCGGGTATGACAAGCCATGCTATTTGGCACATCTTTGTTTGCCTTGGTATCTTTGTAAGTATAAAATGATTCTTTTTATATATATAAAATCTCAAGACTGATTAGATTAACAATTTTATTTTATTTAGTTCCATTACCTAGCCTCGCTTAATTTCTATGCCAACCGATACACCTATGGATGCCTACTCAAGGGCGCCTAATTTATTTTATATTCATCTCATTTCTCACTATCGCTCTATCTATCTATCTATCTATCTATCAACCAATCAATCAATCAATTTTTTCTTTATTTCTTATCGCATTGCATCACATCCCCCTTACAAACAAACAGATAAATTCTTTATTTTTCTTTATATATATATATATATTTATATTTATATAAATCTTTGACCTTCACTTCACTACCCTCCTACCTCTTTATCCTCATCACCCTCTTTTATATTATATTATATTATATTATACATATATATATGTATATATCTTGCACACATTTCAATACGTCTAAAACAGGCTTATGGCATTGATCACTAACAAATATTATTATTATTATTTTTTGTTGATTTGATTGAGACTGATGTATATATAAAGGTATAGTAGGTATAGGAAGAAATATAGAATTATATTTGAGTTTCTGTGTATTTTAGATATTCATCATTGTCTACAAAACTTTATCTCTCTTTTCTTCTTCTTTTGTACTTTGAATAAATATGTACATTGTATCTATATACAGCACATAAAGATTAAGATAAAGTTTATGGCACACATTTTAAGATACAAGAAAGAAATGAATATCATATATCATATTTATATTGAATGGCTTTATTTATCTTTTTTTTTTCTTTTCTTTTATGTTTTAATGTTGCCCAAACGAAGGTCCAAACGCTGGTCCGGTCTCAATAAGATCATCTACATGATCCAGAAACTGCTGGATACCCCTAAAGTACTCTGGTCCCATAGCCTTTTTATCATACCGATGATAATCACCATGATCATATTCTTTTTCTTGTTGTTGAAAATAAGTCTCGTCATACACTTCTTCTTCTTTTTCTTTTTCTTTTTCTTTCTGGGGGTCTGTCTGCTTGACAACAAAACGTGCATTGTTATCTTCCGGATCAAGATCTACAGACCGTAACCAATGCCGTGCAATGTCAACCAGAGTATGACGACTGTTTTGATGGCTATAGTTAGGATTGATATTGCTATTGATATTGGTACTGTTTCTGTTTCTGTTTATCTTGAATTCCGTACTGTCATCAATCTGTAATACTCTGGATGGAAAGTACAATTTGAGTTCAGAACCTTGAAGCTGACTCTCAAAATCCGCGTGGCGGTATAAACGATGTAGGAGAGAAAGCAGATGTTGATAATGCGAGCAAAGGGAGGCAATCGATTTTATGGACACCGAGAGTGACTCGACTTCCCAATCTGTCATCTGAATAGAATCGAGGGGTATAGAAATATAGACAGAATAATTATAATTTCTGTTATTGTAATTATTGTTGCGATGGTGATTTTGTTGTTGTTGTTGTTGATTGTGGTGGTGATCTGGCGGATCGGTACCCCTGAAGACGTGCCGGGGATCAGGAGGTTCTTTTGTCCTCTGACATTGTCGGGGGTGTAAGAACCGTTTGGCAAGCCCTGTCGACTGGACTGTGAAATCCTGGTGGCAGATGTAATCGTAAGGCGTAAAACTCTTTTGAGGAGCAGGAGGACAGTGTCGGATCCGACTGACAGATTCACGACGCACAAGACCAGCCGCATGCTTCTGGACAGGCGAAAACACAAGGTCGTAGATTCCCTTTATCTCATGGCGAGCAAGACGGTTGTAGGCCTCCAGGGGCTCCTTCTGATGGTAATGTTCCTTGACTGATTTACTACGGCCATTCAAACCATTGATGCTGTTTTTGAAAACAGATCCAGAACCAGAGGTAGAATTGTCTTGAGAATCACTTTTGGCTTTATCATTAGGATCATTTTCGTCTTTTGCTGGACCTAATTTGGATCCGATCGGAGAGAAGATTCGAGAAGATACATGACTAAACACCGTATTGGCCTGCTGAGCAGTTGTGTTGGTTGTAGTTGTTGTGGTGGGGCCCTGGAATACCATTAACGGGGATTTGGCGGTAGAGAACTGGCGGGCCGCAAAAGGCACTCGCGCATAACCGACTGTGGCTGTACGGGGAAATCCGCATGAGAATGTGACGGGTGTGCCACTGTGAGTACCAGAAGAAAAGGATGTGATGGTTCGACGAAACTGAGTTTGATAATAGAGGCCAAGGTTCTGCTGGGTCGTGGCTCTTGTAAACGACACTGGACAGGGGCGATGGAATGGAGCTGAGAATATCTTGACGATTGGGAATTGCTGTTGGAGCACAAAAAGTAGTTTCTGGTGCTCTTGATTGGCTAGCAATAATTTGATACTTGCTGTTGCCGTCGTTGTATTTGTTGTGCCGGTTGTGTGTGGAGCCGGTACTCCTGACACTGCTGTAGGTGGACCTGAGGGTGGTTTCCATTGGATTGGGGTTGGGGCGACCTTGACGATTGGATGCACCAGCTCGCTCACACGATTGTGTATGTAATGCCGCAGCTGGTGAAAGGACGCAAAGATCTTTGCTGGACGAAGCATATTCTGATTCTTATACTTCTATGTTTTTTTTTTTTTTTTTGGTTTTGGTTTTGGTTTTGGTGGTGCTTAGTAGCAAGCTCCCATGCCGCCTAATAAAACTCTATAATAAAATAAATAAATAAATATAATATAATATAAATTGATTGATTGATTGATTGATTGAAAAGAAGTAAGTAAATGTAAGCAGCCAAGTGAATGAATATGTACAATAGATAGACAGGTAGGCAAAGATGTATAGATAGGTTTAAGAAGAAAAAGAAAGAAAGAAAGAAAGAAAGAAAGAAAGAAAGATAAGGACTCTTTATACTTGAGCAAAAGGAAATCACACACACATTTTTATATATTTGACTTTATGATTATAATATGTATATTTAATGGTACCAGGTGACGTGGAAGTATCTAGTGTATGTGTGTGTATCGTGTCGTATCGTATCGTATCGTATCGTCTACCCCACCTACCCGCTATCTTATGATTGGTCTGGATGTAAAATAGACTTATTTCATTAAGCAGAATAAAGAAAGAAAAAAAAAGAAAAACCTATACAAACAAAACAAAGCAAAAAAAAAAAATACCCACCATCACACATCACATTAATCATCAATTAATTGTCAAACCACCATACTAACCCCCCACCTCTTTAACCTTTCTTGTCTTGACTTTTTGACTTTTTGACTTTTCTCTCTTTCCTCTCTTTGCCCTTTTAATCCTTCATGTCCTTCATGTCCTTCAAGTCCTTCAAATCCTTCAAATCCTTATCATTTCCCCCTTCTTTTTCCCCTTCTCCCTTTTCCATTTCTTAATATACACAACACTTGTTTTACCATGCCAAAAAAAAATAAAAAAATAAAAAAAAGAGTATCTTTATACATTTATATGTTTTTTTTTGGGGTAAAAATGAATAGGCATTTGTACAAAATTCAAGAAAAAAGAGAATCATAATTGACTATGACAATTAAATTATTCGGATGATGATGATGATGGTGTTGATGCTGGTGCTGGTGCTGATACTGATGTTCCTACTGGCTTGGTATGGTCGCATGATTTGCAGCTAGTCTGACGGGAAAAGTTGTAAAAATTGCACTCACCGCAAACCCAATCGCCCAACTTGACCTCACGCTGGCTGTTTGTGGGAGGTTGGGAGCATTCAAAGCAAGTCTTTTGGCGCGAGAAGTTGTGGAATGAGCAGTTGGTGCAAACCCAGTCTCCAGGACGGAAGTTCTTGCTGCCATCACTGCCACCCTCTCTTCTAGGGGCACGGTCTCCGCCGCTTCCGTATGCTCTAGGCTGACGACCGTTGTATTCTCTTGGCTGGCGGTCACCGTAGGAACGGCGAGGAGGACGGTCACTGTATTCTCTGGGCTCACGGCTACCACGATCACCACGATCACCGCGGTCATTACGGTCACCAAAGTCACGGCGAGGAGGACGATCAGAAGAAGAGTAAGATCCTCTGGACTCACGATCGCCATAATCACGACGGGGAGCACGATCTCCACCATCGGATCTCCATCCTGAAGAAGAAGAACGATCGCCATAATCACGGCGAGGAGGACGATCTCCACGATCAGGGGAAGATCTTTCACGATCGGACGAGAATTTTCCACCTTCACGATCTCCAGAACCAAATCTTGAAGGACGATCGGTGAAATGAGTGCGAGCAATGATCATACCAGCTGATGACATTGGCAACTAATAGTATATTTTTTTAAAGAAAAAAAAAAGACATGAGCAACAATAAGTAAAGTTTCGATTGGAACTGATAAATAGTATTATTCTTTTTTTTTAAAAAAAAAAATATGACATTCTTTCTTTCGTTGTATCTTTTTTTTTGGTTTGTTAGTTTATACCTTGGAAACCAACTGTACATTGGTTGTGACAGATTGAGTCAGGAGACGAGTAGACTGGATAATGCGGGGTAAGATCATTTCTTTTCTTTATGAATGCTCAAGTGATCTTAAGGTCAATAAGAATAATAAGATAGGTTACTAGTTTTTTGTTTTTTTTTATTGTATATTATTATTTTTGGATTAATTGACAATAAAAAAAAAGACTTTCCAAATAAGGGAAGTATTTGTCAGTCACACGCCAGTCCGTAAAGCTGTCCTGAAAAAAATAAAATAAAATAAGAGATGTGATTAAAATGGAGCTTTTTTTATTATTTTTTTGGGTTTTCTGGTTTGTCTCACATAAGAGAGTACTTGGGTGTATGCGTGTGTGTGTAATATTGGAAGGGGGGATGGGGGTTTCTTTTTATGAGTCAAAAGTAAAATAATTATTTTCCTTTTTATATATATTCTTTGCATATTAAAGAGGTCACAATGGCGCCAAAAAAAAGTGTGGGAATTGCCTTCTTTTGTTAAAATAATAGTTTGTCGGTTTCTTTCTTTCTATAGGTAAAAAGACAAGAATTTTATTATCAATAGATTTATAGATGAATGTGCATGTACATTTTCATGTTCATGTTCATGTATATTTATGTATCTGTATTGGCTTTTCTTTTTTGTACTGGATCTTAAAGTTAAACGAAAGAACTATACCTTTAGATTTGTACTTGACTGGATCATTATTGTTTTCAAATAAGAATTCAATAAAAGGTAGTAGTAATTGTAATACTTATAATGACGATAATTAAACACAATGGGTGTGCATTGTGTAAAGTAAGTTTGATAATCAAAACAAATATTTATGGGTCATGCTGATTGATACGAAATTGTGGCACCAATCCACTGACAGATGAATTGTAAAGATACAATATGCATTTATACATACATAAGCTATATATATATATATATGTATGTAAATATTGAAAAAGGGCTTAGGTACCCAACATGACCATCGTTCAATTCATGAGATCATAATTATTTATATAGAATATCTATTTAACAACAATAATAATAATGATCTAAAGAAAATGTTCTTTGCTCTATGGACAGTCGGCTAATTGTATAGTGCAGGCAATTGATGGATAAATTATTATTAATTATTATTTTATCTCCCTCCCTCTCATTTGTGGCGGAGTATGAGGGACAATCGAGGTTTTGGAAAATGTATTAAAGAATATTATAGTCACTTTCCATATATAGAAATTATAGATCTATAGAAAAATTGTTCTTACACATAGCATAAAGGCGTCTATATTCCCTTTTTATTTATTTATTTATTTATTTATTATTATTATTATTATTATTCTCAAACTACAAGGTCGAGTATGCAAAATTATCCAAATATTAATATACAAACACATCCAGAACTTTGTGTATATATATTAGGTCTAATGTGATGCAAGTAGATAAGCCTTGGGAGATCAACATATTCTTGTGCTGATTTATGATAGAAAATGGCAATTTTTTGTAACTTTATAAGCAAAATAATAGTATTAGATACCTAACTCTTGCTGGATCGTGTTTAAAATAAGCTTAGCTTATGCTTGTTCAAATACAACCAAGGTTGAACAAAGAATTTTTGGATAGTTTTCTAAACACATACATATATATATATATATATAGTAGCCTCAACATTGATCTTTAAAAGTCACTTTCTTTGATTGGAATTGATGCAATATCATCAATATTTATAGAATCATAGACATATAAACTTTTGGCAAAACTTTAAAAGTAGTGTACTCATTTTCTTTAAATATTGCGATCATAAGCCTCTATATGATTCGAGTACCCTTGTTTTTTTTATATATAATTATTAGATTAAGTTCAAGTAGGTTATCAATGAATAGTCAAATCTAATAACCCTCAATATATTGGGTGTTAAAGAGTATTAAAAGTGTTCAATGTATTCCGCAGCTATATGATATATATATGTATATATGTATGTTTCCGAGACATTACTCATATTCCGGGACTGCACGGAAGCATTTTTATTCTTCTTCTTCTTCTTCTTCTTTGGTTTGTTACCCAAGAAACAACAAAAAGCAGCTGTTGTGTCACCCAGCAAAGGATGACAACAAATATATATCTAGTCATTAATCAGCATTTTGTTTTACTGGACAACCACTTCAAGAAAATTTCAAGCTATATATATATATATATATATAAGTGTGGTATTAAAATCTTTCATATATTTCTACTGGTATACTAAATGATGAGCATATAGACTCTAATTGCTGTAAATGGATATCGCTTACTACTGCATATGAAAGTAAGTCTGGAAGATTTGAATTAAAGTCCTCATCTACTGTTGTTCTATTGTCTAATCTGCAAGTTCATAATACGCACAACTAATTGCATTTTATATGATAATATCAATGTCATAATCATTGCTCGTATAGATTAATATATACATACATACATTATTTTACTACTGTGATTCTGCATCGAGAGACTAAAAGACATTTATATAAATTGTATCATACAAAGACTCCAAGATAGGGATGCCTTGATTAAATACTTGGCTTACCAAGACCTCTGTCATCATTTACTAATCGTCAATAACACATCTACACATCTGAGATTTTGTAATTATTTGGTACTTACTATAATTTTATTCATAATAAACAATTATACACTCTCACCAGATAAATGACCGTTAGATTTCTTTAGTTCTTGATAGTTGTCTTTTAAACAGTTTTCTCTCTTGAACTATGACTCTTAGAGTGTATTAAATATACTCGATTGACTTGTAAGAAGATGTTCTGCAAAAATAAATAAGGTGTGGTCAAAAGAAAGAAAATATCTATTTTGTTTGGGTGTAAAACAAAGGGAGTCAAGACAAAAAGTTGTAAAAAAAAAAGAGAGAGTACCTTTCTTGGAATATTTGATCCAAAACACTTCATATATATTTCTGACAGGAAATCAAAGCTGTAGAATGTTGGTAAATTGAAAACATGAGTAAGATTACGAGATGCTTAGTACACCCAAAATAATGACAGTACCGTATAGATATATATATATGGCTTTATACATTACTGTTTAATATTCCATGGCAAATGTATTAATAAGCATTGCTAATTTGTGAACTAATTTTGTGTCCAGTAGAGATATCTGACAAATCTTACTCTAATCATTTAAACTTTTCTTTCTGCCTTATTCTTTGATTGGCAGTCACATATAGTCTTTTCCTTCTTTTCTTATATATATATATATAAAACAGATTATATGAACAGGTCTGGCAACTTGAGTTTTACTGTGTGTATATTCTAAATAATATACACCATAGCCTACTATTTATTTATTGATAAAGATTCATAATAAGTTTGTACTTTTGAATGAATTAATTGCGAGTCTTGTCTATAAGAATGATTTGATTTCAAACTTCATTTATAATACAATTCACAGAGAACTATCCAGAACTTCGGCCTATAGAAAAAAAAAAAAACTATATCCCAAAATGGAAACTAAAAAAAAGAAGGAGAAATTATATAAAATAAAAAAAAAAACAATTCCCGCAGTGAAGAAGAAGAAAAAAAAAATTGTCTTTTTTTTTTTTTTCTTTTCTTTCCACAGTAACAGAGCCGCATAATCAATAGTCATGTCTGCCCCTCAAGAGGTAAAAATAATAGCTACAAGAAACAAGTTTTAGACAAACAAGACAAACTTTTTTTTAATAAGAAAATAATAATAATAATAATAATAATAATAATAATAATAATAATAATAATTTTTTGTATTAAAACAGCACAACCACAACCACAACCATAACCACGATCATTCTCATGATCACGCTCATGATCATGATCACGATCACGACCATAGTCACGATCAGGAAGACGCGATTGATGAAGAATATCTTACTCAGGACGATATTCTCGAAGTAGACGATGCCGAGGGTTATGAGCCTATGGATGACGACGATGAGGGTGAATATGCCGAAGGTCAAGAGAATCCTCTCGAGGGATATGAAATGAGACCCTCTGCTGATGACGAAAATGTCATGGAACTTGCCGACGACTCTGTTCAGGGTTTCTTTGATCACGGAGGTATGTATATATATATATATATATCTTTTGGTTGTCGGATCATTAAATAAATGAACACATATGTTGTGTATGTTATATATAATAGAACCTGTCTATGCTGTCGCTATCCACCCCAAGGATGGTACAATTGTCGCAAGTGGTGGTGGTGATGACAAGGGTTACCTTTGGCGCTCAGACACCGGCGAGAAAGTATTTGAATTGGATGGCCATACCGACTCGGTTACTGCCGTTGCCTTTAGCGTCGACGGTGATTATGTTGCCTCGGCTGGTATGGATGGCAAGGTCCGTGTCTGGAAGACCATGACCGGTGAATTCTGCACTGCTGTCGAAGGTCCTGATGATATTATTGTAAGTTTGCTTAATACACACCGACTAGTACTACTAGAAGGCTATCTAGTTATAGTAGAAAGCTTTTGATAAAAGACAAGGCAAAAGAAAACAAGAATACTGATGATAATCATAACATTGTATTTTTATGACTTTATTATATATATATATATATATATCTTAGTGGATCAACTGGCATCCCAAGGGTAACATTCTTTTGGCTGGTGCTTCAGACGGTACTTTGTGGATGTGGGCAAGTAAGTATTCATACAACATGGGGTGGGAGTTTTTTTCTTTTTTTTTTAAAAAAAAAAAAGACATTTAACCTATATTTTCATTTTTTTATTTTTTATTTTTGGTTTTGGTCTACAGTGCCAAGTGGCAAGTTTATGAACATCTTTACTGGCCATGCTGCTCCTGTCACCAGTGGCTGCTTCACTCCGGATGGTAAGAAGATTGTGTCCGTTTCTGAGGATATGACCTGCATTGTTTGGGATCCCAAGACTGCTGTTGCCGAAATTCGTCTCACCAGTGATGACAACCGTTTCCATGGTGAGCCTATTACTGCTGTCGCTGTCAACAAGGACAGCACTCTTGCTATCACCGGAAGCATGGATGGAAAGGCTCGTTTGATTAACATCCTTAATGGAAACGTAAGTATTGTTGGTATAGAAGACTGTGTTAAATACTTGGCTATAGTGTAACACACACACACACACAAAGAGGAGAGAGAGAGATTTTAATGACTTTCTTTTCTTTTCTTTTATCTATACTTTGATCAGATTGTCACTGCCCTTGAGAATCACACTGACTCTGTCGAGACAATCTCATTCTGTGATGTGTAAGTGTTAATTAAATGGTTATAAAAAGAATAAAGGGAGGTGTATTAACTGTAATCATGATATTTTCTGCTCTATATAGTCTTCCTTTGGCTGCCACTGGTTCAGTAGATGGTAACATCTCTATCTGGGATGTCCAGACCCAGCGTCTTCGCCACACCTTGTCTCACGATGTAAGCCATTTAATTTATCTCCCTTCTATTCTGTTTTGTAGACAGATATTAACATGTCTTTTGTGTTTGTGTTTATAAGGACGCCATCGTCAAAGTACAGTTCATTCGTAACTCTTACCTGCTTATTTCATGCTCTGTTGATAAGAAGGCCAAACTCTGGGATGTTCGTACTGGCCAGTGCTTGAAGACATGGAGTGGACATCGTGATACCATTCTTGATATCGCTGCCTCAAGGTAAGAAAAACCAAACAATATATATATATATATATTTATTTATTTCTATTCTTCTTCCCCCTTTTTTTTGTAGTGATGGTCAGACAATCGTAACTGCTTCCGATGATGGCCATTGTTTGGTGTTCAAGCCCTAAAGCGACTATGAAAAAAAATGAAAAAGAAAAGAAAGGAGAGTTTTTTTGCTTCTTTCAAACCTCATCATCCATCCTTTCTTTCTTTCTTTTTCTTTACCACTCTCCTTTGCATCTAATACTTAATTTTCTCTCTTCCTTATTCTTCTTGACTATTTTCTTTTAAATATATTTGTATTTCTTCATAATGATTTCTTTTTTTTTGCGTTATTCAAGATGAACTTTTGCACTCAAAATAGATTTTTTTTTTCAAACCAACAAAAAGGTCTTTAAGTTTAAAACAAAAGGCAAAAGGCTGGGTATTTTATATGGATCTATGTAGCGTAGAATTTATTGGGCCTTGTTTGTTCTGCAGTCCGTTTAAAATTATACATGAATCTCGAGCAAGTTCGAATGATTATGATAAAGGTATTCACTATAAAAGCACGATGATCTCTAGCTTGTTTCATACTTGGTCCCTTTCTTTCTTTTCTTTCTTTTCTTTAAACATATATTTATGTGTATATAAATTATCATTATTCCAAAGCACACTCACAACAACAGCAATAATAAAATACAGTAACATAATATATATAATTTAAAGAGAGAAAAAAAAAGTATTTTCTTTTATATACATATAAGTTAAACAGAGGGGATGTTCTTTTTGAGAAAGCTCGAGATATCCAACAACTCTTGGGGTGCAGCTGAATGACCCAAGTTGTGATAGGTCTTGAATTCAACATCGTACTTCAACTGCTGGAGGCGTTCAGCAGATTCCTTACCAAAAGTATAGTTAACTACTGGATCGGCATCACCATGGCACATCAAAATAGGGGTCTTCTTGTTGGCATCAGATGCCATCTACGCGTACAAAGAAAATATATGATAAGTAAATCAATACCCTTTCTTTTCTTGTTTGGTTTGTGTTTTTTTTTTTATATATATATATATATATATATATATAACAATAAACTCTTACATTTTGGATTCTGTCAGGCATAGGGAGCCATCCACTGCAACCAATGATAGCGGCCAACTTGTATTCCGAAGTCAAACCGGCCAACAACGACATTACACTTCCCTGGGAGAAACCACCAAGAACAATACGGTTGGCAGGAATGCCCTTGTCAACCTCGTCTCTGAGGATCTTGTTGATTGTGGTGACTGACTGAAGCATGCCATCGCGATCTTCAGAGGTTGCGTTCTTGCGTCCGAGCTCCTTGATGTCAAACCAGGCTGGCATGGACATTCCACCGTTGAGGGTAACGGGAATAGAGGGCGCGTTGGGAAGAATCCACTTTACATAAGGAAACAGACCAGAAAGTTGTTCGGCGAGGAAGGACCAGCCAGCACCGGAATCGCCCAAGCCGTGCATCCACACCACAGTTGCAGTCTGTTTGGTAGAAGCATTGATAATTACGGATGACAAGGCAGACATTAGATTAGTATCGAGAGTTAGAACAAGTGAATAGAATAAAATTTTAATATATATATAAAATAAAATAAAGTATCATTTTATTTTTATAATATATAAAGTAAATTATAGTATATATATATATATATATATATAAATTGGGTTGAACAATTATCTCTATTTTAAAGCATCTTGAATAAATCAAAAGGTTTCCTGGTCATATCCCGTCTTTTTTTTTCTTTGAACAACATTTCGATATTCCATGTATCTAATGGAAAGTTGGATTGAATTTAAATGAGATTGCTGGAGGTGGTCAAACGTATACTTGCTTGGTTACCCTTGAATGAAATGAAATGAATAGAAACACCTTTATCATTGAGAATATCTATTAGGAGTTTTTATTAGCCTAAAGATTATAGTCTATATAAATGTATATATATATATATATATATGACTTTTATAGATACGCGTTAACTGCATTAGACTTTTGTACAGCTCATTTTCGCTTGAGTAGTGAGATATACAAAGAGCTTCTTTATTTCTATTTCTATTTGTATCTATTAGCAGTATATCTTATTGTGTTAATTAATAGAAGAATTGTTTTTGAAACATATACTTTACAAGTTACCATTTTATCATAAGCCTATCTTATCTCTTCAATTGAATTGCTCTGTGGTCAATTTAAAATACACAATACATTGCAGTTTTGAATTTCTTTTTGGAAAATTAGCTTTAACAATGTTAATTGTGCCATCTTTTGCCAATACGTTCTGGGATACTGGCTATTTAGCTTTGTCTTCTTTCTTTTTATTTTCTAATATAAACAAATCATACTCGATAGCACTACATTATCTAGTATAAACTATCCTTTGATTAGGTAGCATATTTAAATAGCACCAAGGTTCTTTTCCAGAATGCTTGAAATATCCAACGCCTCTTCGGGTGAGAAGGAATGGTTCATGCCGGGGAAGACCTTGAGTTGAACATTATAGCCCAGCTGCTTAATAAAGTCAAACGAATTCTGTTCAACTTCAAGAAGAATATCGTAATCAGCATCACCGTGATACATCTGAATAGGAGTCTCTTTGTTTGCACCAGATAAAAGCTAATGTTTATAATAATAATTTATGCTTTTAGTAAACCAATCAACTCAAATAAATGTTTTATCTTATTTGAATAATCCTTACATTCTTTAACGTGTCAGCTATAGGAATCCATCCACTGCACCCGAAAATAGCAGCCAGTTTGTATTCGGAAGTCAAGGCTGTCAATAATGATAGTACACCACCCTGAGAGAAGCCACCGACGGCAATACGATTGGAGGGAATTCCTCTGTCGACTTCGTCTTTGATGATCTGGTTAATTTTGGCAAGTGAATCAAGTATGCCATCACGATCCTCATTGATTGTGAGCTTTAGACCAAGTTCTCTGATATCGAACCAGGCAGTTGTGCGCTGTCCTCCTTGGAAGGTGACTGGGATAGAAGGTGCGTTGGGAAGGATCCATTTTACATGAGGGAATTGTTCAGAGAGCTGTTCAACAAAGGACGACCAGCTCGCACTACTTGTACCCAAGCCGTGAATCCACACAACAGTTGCAGTGTGTGTGGTGATAGGATTGACAATCACAGTAGATGAGGCAGTCATTGGATTAATATAAAGCAAATTCTTTTGTGGGAAATAAGAAGACAAAGAGAAGGAGAAAGAGACCGAGATAAATAGTCTAATTACGAAACCTGAGTAGGTACTGGATTCTTCCAGGTCTGCTAAATAATCAATATATATATCTTATGCTTGGCATTACAACAGTTACCGATTTGGGTCAAAGTTTTGAGCCAATATTGAACTTTAATCTTCTTTAATATCATTTGAAAAAAAAAACAAATTAAAAAATTCAAGCTTATGTAATCACTTACAAATGGCTCGAGTAATCGATATCTTATCTTACATTCAAATCATTACTATACCTCTAAAAAAATTGATGAATAATCCTTCAAAGAAATAGAAAGAAAAAGAACATTATTACTAAGATACACTATACACATCATTTCTTTCTCTCTTTATTAGTAATCAAACTAACCTTCATCTTCTATACTTCTAAAGATATACTGTCATAATATCCGTTCAAATAAAAAGGAATTCCCCATTTTATCAAAGCTCCTTTGTTTTGTTCATTACTATGGCCACATTGATGCCGTATATATTGTTTTCATTTACACTTCTTTCAAAGCTTTGATTACAGCTACTTTGATGCTGTAGTCTAGTGAGACCTTGGGGAGACACACAAGAATCAAACAGGGCTGATATGTTCTCTATTAGTCCCAGTACTTGTATTCTTAGTAAGCCAGTGTCAAAGTATTTTATTATCTTACTACAAGCTGTTGTTTCATTGACATTCTGACATCTGTGAATTTCAGCAAGGTTATATACTATTTTAAACAAAAATGGCTAAAAATCTGGAAAACCTACGCTGAGCCATCTTTTTCTTTTTTATTAAAGTTTGAAAGTGATGTGCTTATATGATTTAAGAAAGAAAGAGAGAGAGAGAGAGAGAGAAAGGAGTATTACAAGAAGTACTGGTAGAATAAAAAATAAATAAATTCACATTACTTTTGCGTTCATATTGTATATCGATAGACAATTGTTCTAAATTTGTTTTTCTTTGTACCAGTTTAATTTGTTTTTGAGAACAAGGCATTTGGTGCAAATCCGAATAGTCTGCCTAGTATCTTATTGATAACTTAATTCATAGCACTTTTTAAGTAACAAAAAACGGCTCAATTGGATAAAAGCTATAATCAAATACTGTAGTGAATAAACGATATGTTATCTTTATATGCTAATACAGAGATTAGACCTATTTGATTGATTATTCTGAAATATGTTATGCAGAAACTGACAAGACGTATCTTTCAATATAAAGATCAAAAACGGAAAATGTATCTTGTAACAGTGTTCTTCTTTTGTACAAGTGTAGATCTATTTGAATACACACACACACATATATGAAAAAGAAAGTAAAGGCATATGTGTATTTAACACCTTGTTTTATCCAGAGAAAATTCTAATGCTATGAACCATATACAAAAGAAAAGGGTGTTTAATGCCATCTTCGCACCTACGACTTGGTATTTCATTGAGCTGAAAATCAAATGATTCCAAAATAGATAAAGACATTGGGTCATGTATTTATATAACATAGAAAATAGAGTAAATCAATCTATTCAACTCATCTCATTTCTTAGTAAATACACCCAAAGATCATATATATTTATCTATCTATTGGCTTAAACAGAAACTGACCACACGTATTCTTCATCATGCTTCCAGTCAGTCTAATCCATGCTTTATTACTGTCCAGCAGAGGAACGCATACAAGTACATATCAGATATCATATCAATAAAGGTGATATCTATTTCTTACCTTAAAAAGACATTCTTTTGTCAAAGTTTCCTTACAAACATTAAGTCTGTGACTGATATTGCTACAACCTACAAAAGAGATCCTATAAAAATGGGGGCATTTCTTTTTTATTCTTCTTTCTACCCAATAAAATACACTGGGTAGCATCATCATCATCATTACCATCACATTTACTATCAAAAATAAATAATATAAATAGGCATATAAAATATTAAAGGGTTTCTTTTTGGATAGCATTATACAAATAATACATGTCAGTAAACTTTTATAGTCTGTACAAGTTTATCTTCTAATATCCCCTTAGGATTACGATATAATTCGCTTTTGTCTTTGAATTTGTTATTATAATTCTCTAGCTTAATTCGACACCATCATATTTTCATACTCGACCAAACGTCTTCTTTTTACTACCAATGCTATAACCACATTCTATTCTCTCCTTTCTTATATTCTGAAGAAACCATCAGTCAATACCCATTTCCAGTCTAGATATCCGGTAATATTCTCATTTTTTATTTATATTTCACAAAAAAAAAGAAGAAAAAGGAACGAGATGTACGGCCTCTGAAAAATAGGGGGTTTACTATGTAGTGTAAATGTGAAACGCATTGACAAGAAAAGAAATGCAGGTAGAAAAGACAATTTTAGGTGCTATTCACGACCCCAACCCTTACCCTTTCATGTTCTACCAGACCCATTCCCAAAACAATTTTGGAGCTATATTTTACTCAAGATATTTCTGGAGTACTTGATCTCTAAAATGCCATCATAATGTGTGCATTTTTTTGTACTATTTCTTGTGTTCTTTATTTTGCAATATTTTTATTAAAGCAAAGCAACAATGAACTACAACTACCTTATTGACATTGTTCTTGGAGAAGGAGGAGTCGAAGAAATCTTACAAGCATCGTATAATGCTTGCCCTTAGATTCTTCTAATCGACAAATGACTCAGAAGAGCAAACAGATTCATTTAAAAGGCAATGAAATAGAAGTAAAGATATAAAATAACACATTAACATAACTGCTGTTTTTATGAAAAGTAGCTATGTAACTATGGCTGTCTAGTATGATGTATATGGGACGTTATTTCCCATTTTACTTCCTGTCGAAGGTGTATTTTCACCTTCGATACGTACAAGATTTTTTATCATTTTGGAAATTATATGTTACATAACTACTATATATATCAAGAGTCCTTATGTACGTTTTGGTAATGGGTCTGGTGGATGTAAAAGGGTAAGAGTTGGGGTCGTGAAGAGCACCTAGAAAGTGAAGTTTATATTCATTTTTTTTTTTGCATTTATTGGTACTGCCGTCGCACACAGTGCGCGGCCTTTGAAAATAAAATTGGAGAAAGATAGTTACAGGAGAGGAAAGAAAGAGATATATATGCTAGCTAAGGGAAGGTGAGGTCATGGGATTTATGTATGACAGTCACTGCCTCAGCTGCAACTACATTGGGGAGGAAGGGGGAGTTGTCAAAGACAAATTCCCAGTGCGCATACCAGATGGTGTGAACCGTGATGGAGGCAATCTCAATCTGGAGAAAGGAGGAAACGGAGGGAGAAAGCCGAGTACGAGCGAGAAGCCAGGCAACGTCAGAAATGGACCAGGACGGACACATTTGCCGCCGTACCAATGTCCACACGGGAAACTTGCGAGGGCAGGAGAAGACGAAATGTTGGAGAGGGTCCACCGCAGAGACACAGAGGCGACAGTTCGGACTAGAAAGGAAAGAAGAGGTACGGTTGAATACGAACTCAGTGGCTGGGACCCTTTGCCAGAGGATTTTCCACCAGAGAGAACGTGAGTTGTGTGGCATGGACCATCGCCAGAACAATTTCCAGGAAATATCAGAGTGAGGTAGAGAGAAGTTTATATTCATAAAACACGTGACACGAGAAAATTGATAAAAAGATTGAAATTGAAACAGGTATTCAGCATCAAAAAGCAAGAACTGCGCTTTTTTGTGCAAAGCATCTTACAACTTGTTATATTACATTTGGATAGAATGACCATTTCAAATCGTAAAAGTTTAGATTTGGACGTCAAAAATTGCCTTGATAACACTGAAAATTTAAGTTTGGATACCAAAACAAACACAGGGCAAATAGTTGCTACATAGACATCTTGAGCTCGCGCGCGTTCAAGAGCCGTGAACTAGTGAAAAATCTACTTAACCGGTTTAAGAATTGGAAGGAGAGCAAATTTGAGGAATCATTCTGGGCAAAGATGACTTTGGATGAAAAGAAGAAAGCAGATAGGAGCACAATTGCAAATAGACGGCTATATAACAGCAGCTCATTTTTCTCTGCAAGCAGCATCAGAATTACGAAGAACTCCGTCTTTTGACAATCTACCCTTGTAACATCTATACTTTAAGTCCTTATTATCTTAAAAAGATTCTCTAATATTACTTCACAATAGAAAAGCAAAGAAATACGTCAAAACTAGCCATGGATTACAGGAAGAGTTATTCTCAGCAAATTCCCCAGAGCACTTGGATGATTTAGCAGTTTCTTCAAGCCAACAGCACGAAAGCCAACCAAACTCTTTCACTGATACCTCTACTGACTCATACATTGATGAAGGTGACATATCAGATGATTCTCAGTCAGTAGAGGCCGGGGACGTTTTCGATTTCCTGTCGACTACAGAAGGCGTATATGATGTTTCCGTACCGTCAATCACCAAATCCTGGAAGGTAGTATCAGGTTTCAATGTTTCCGAGTCATTCCTGCAGTACCGAGAGACCTGTATTGAGAAGGCCAAAACTCATCGAAACCTGGAGACACATGAAGAATTGGCGCTTAGTGGCATAATGCTGATTGATGATAGCATTTGTGAAGAACATTACTTCCCTTTTGAACATGTTGAAGATGTTTTGCAGGATATTGAAGCTGTCGATTATTTCCACATACCCAATGCCGATGAAGAAGAGTCTCGTCTATGCCAGAAGTTTGCCTATAATATGCAGCAGAGAAGGCTGAATTATGATCATGTTGACAGAATTTTGGACGATATGTAGCAGCAGGAAAGATTCAAAAAATTGAAATGCATGTTATCTTCTTTCGCTAGAATCTATTGTATGAACTACTCTATCCATCCAATCAACGAGGCAACACTTGTACACAATACTATCAATGTGATGATCGATGCGTACTTTAAAAACTCTCCCATTATCAAGTGCCTAAATGCAGACAACATGAGCTTTTCCTCATCTGCCCGATTTACCAATATGGACCCCTCTCTTGTGAACCATAACAAGCGTCCCGATTTTAGTATAGTCTCAAACCGGGAGAAACACCTTCTTCTGACCTTAGAGGCCAAGCGTTGTGGTCGTAGCATGTCCGGTGATTTCTTCAAGCTTGCTAAATTGCTGAAGGATTCGTTAAACCAAATTGAGGTATTCGGGATTGTTTATGGGTTAGTATCTCAATAATGGGAAAAGTAGATACTGTAAGAGTGTTATTTATTAAAGAGACAAAATAATATTGTTTATATCTGTTACTATTAAAATCCCTGTGATTCAATTCCCTGTTGTGTAGTGGTTGGTTTACACTGTATGAGTGTGTAGTGTACGTGTGCCTGGTGTGTAACAGTTCCGGAGATTGTTAACTTGCCAGGTTCATTAGCAAGAAGGAACCAGTGTTTGGTTGTGGGGTCTGTTCTTCACTCAATTGTGGTGTGTATACCACACCGTAGATATTCTTTTCAATTTTATCACGCATTTTCCTGTCTGCTAGCTTAGAGCTTACCTAAGCACTTAAAGCTAATTTTGCAGCCCCTCACCCCTACGTCTCATCAATAAAAATGTGAGGTATCCCACCTTCACCTAAAAAAAACCAAATACACATTGAACATTACAACTATGCTAGTAACATTATATCAAAGTGTTAAAGCTGGTACGGTGAGAATGGTTGTAGGTGGTATAAACACACAGTTATTTTTCAGTCTGGCAATCAACTCGCAGCAAGGTTAGATGGAAATACTGTCGTCTCTAATTACTTTATTATGAACAACGTTGCCATAAATACATCTAAACTTATAAGAGATTACTTACACAGCCGCACAAACCACATGTGTCCTATCCTTCCCTTATATCGCCCATTCTTGAAAACCGTAAAGATTTTTTTTCAGAATTAAAAGGTTTGGCTAGAAGAATGCCCAGGGTTTCTGCTGATAGAAATACAAAACATATTAATGATTGCAGTTCATTTTTTTTTGACAATTTATGAAGTTTGGGGTAATAATAAGCCCAGTTATCTTTTATAATATAAATTAAATCACTTTTTGAAGGGTGGACTTTTTCGATTTTTTTTAGCATTTTATTGATCTGCGCCCAGTTTTTAAAATTCTATAGAAGTGGACTTAATTGAACAGATACGAGAGAGAGAGAGAAGATAAGATAGAGAAAATAAGAAAATGTCCAAAAAAAAAGCTGAGACAGATAGAAGAGAGGAGAGAGGAGTAACCAAGAAATAATTGCAGTGTTACGCTGTGTTTTTCTATTATAGTGAACGCTTTTTGTGCCCCCAACTCCACAAAGAAAGGGTTAGCCATCAAAAACAAACTTCCAATTAGCACCCAATACGGATTTAGTAGTGATAACGTAAAGGAGAATATGGAGGGTTTGATTGAAGGAGCGTGGTGGGAAGGTGTCTTTGATAAGGCCTTTCCAAATTTAACCTGTAAACTACTTTAAGAAATTGATTTGATTTTTTCACTTATGAATTTAGAACTCTATATTATTAAAGAAAAAATAGTAATAATTCATGTCATTTTTATGAATTATAGTTAATGACATTATTTTCTAGCAAGAAAAAAGCTGCAGGGAAATTATTGGCTACTGGCTATTGGAAAATGAAATAAATGGTAAATTTGTGCCTGACTTTTATATAATGTAACACTTCTACAGTCATAGCAATGACTCTGGGAAGCCTAGTGAACCAATTGCTATATATTTACAACGACTCTTTTGATATATGGTATTTAAGCCAATATAATATTAAGTTTCCAATTCAATTTTCACTGTCAAGAGCTAAAGTCTTTAGATTAACAGTTTTTAATCAATAGAACCTTCAAGATCAGCAAGATGTCTAAAGTACTCCGGACCAAAAACAGTTCCAAACCATTATGCTGTCTTTTCCTTACATGGCGGCTCTAAGGGCTATACGTCTTTTTGCATATATCTCATGAACTCTTTTTTTTTTGGTCTAGCAGTTCAGTTACATTTATCTCTATACTCCGTTATAGATATATTTTAACAAAAGCAAGGAAAGAGACAAAGGTAAAGACAGTCAACCATATTATTTTTAATAATATTTTTAAAGACTAATAGGTTTTTATATTTTTTAAAAAAAAGAGACGAGAATATAAATATAATATCAAAGAAAAACAAGGGAAATTTTTATTGTTCAAAGCAAATGATTTTTGTGTACAAAGATTTTTACAAATTAAATACAAATTAAATTAAATTAAATAGAATATAAGATAGTCAAGTCCATGATAGTCCAGTCCAGTCCAGCCCAGTCCAGTCCGGTTTTTTTTGAGAAATATTTCATTCGCTTTGCAAGTATATATGTAAAGAGGATTTTGCAGCTTATTGTAATAGAGAGTCTTGGTCCAATCCGGAGCGTCGCCTCGATCCAGAGCCAGGTTCCAATGCAGTGTTCCTTCAGTTTTGATTTGATTTGATTTGATTTGATTTGATTTGATTTGATTTGATTTGATTTGATTTGATTTGATTTGATTTGGTTTGATTTGATTTGATTTGATTTGATTTGAGTTGATTTGATTTGATTTGAGTTGATTTGAATTGTAAATGTGAGGTAAGCACCACAATAGAGTGAAGAACAGACTCCACTACCAAACACTGATTCCTTCTTGCGAATAAATCTGGCAAATTAACCATCTCCGGAACTATTACATACCAGGCACACGTACAATACCCACTTATACAATGTACTAACCATCATACAACAAGGATAAGAATTAAAAAAGATTTGAATAGTCAAATATAAACAATATTACCTTGTCTCTCTAATAAATAACACTCTCAAAGTATCTCAATATTTTGAAGAGTGGATACTTTGAGAGTGTTACTTATTAGAGAGACAAGGTAATATTGTTCATATCTGTTACCATTCAAACCCCTTGGAATTCAGATCCCTGTTGTATAATGGTTGGTTTCCACGGTATAAATGTGTAGTGCACGTGTGCCTGGTATGTAATAGTTCCGGAGATGGCTAACGTGCCAGGTTCATAGGCAAGATGGAACCAGTGGTTGGTAGTGGAGTCTGTTCTTCACTCTATTGTAGTGTGCGTGCCACAGCCAACAGGACTTAGGATGATGCCTGAGATTTGAATTTGCCATTGGAAGAAATAATTTTTGTTTGGAACTTGCATTGGACCCCTGCTTGGAAATTGGCTTGGCCTTGAGATTTGGAAGTATAACCCAGATTTTGAACTTGATAGAAATTATGCTTGTATGTATGTATGTTCTAGGACTAGTACTCTAGCAGTACGTGGACATTGTTTGGCCATTTGGAAAGGAATTGGACTTGGACATGGACTTGGACATGGACATAGAAATGGATCTTGACTTGACTATTTTGGATATTGTGCTAGTATATATAAATTTTGACTTAATAAAGATAATTATGAGTACAATTTTTTTTGAATTTTTTCCCTTGTTTTTCTTTTTTTTTTGACTAGATATTTTGATTTGATTTTGGACTTTGTCCCTGATCTTGACCACATCTTGGTCCTGTGCTGTTAACCGGTTTGGCCTTTTCTTTGGCGCCCCTTGTTGGGCTTGTGGTAGGCCGGATTGGCCTCTGATCTTGACCACATCTTGGTCCTGTGCTGTTGACCGGTTTGGCTTTTTCTCTAGTGCCCCTTGTTGGGCTTGTGGTGGGCTGGATTGGCTTTTGGCCTGGCGCGCATCTTGGGCCTTTGCTGTTGGCCGGTTTGGCCTTTTCTTTGGCGCCCCTTGTTGGGTTTGTGGTAGGCTGGATTGGCTTTTGACCTGGCGCGCATCTTGGGCCTTTGCTGTCGGCCGGTTTGGCCTTTTCTCTGGTGCCCCTTGTTGGGCTTGTGGTGGGCCGGATTGGCTTTTGGCCTGGCGCGCATCTTGGGCCTTTGCTGTTGACCGGTTTGGCCTTTTCTCTGGTGCCCCTTGTTGGGCTTGTGGTGGGCCGGATTGGCTTTTGACCTGGCGCGCATCTTGGGCCTTTGCTGTTGACCGGTTTGGCCTTTTCTCTGGTGCCCCTTGTTGGGCTTGTGGTAGGCCGGATTGGCCTCTGACCTGGCGCGCATCTTGGGCCAGTGCTGTTGGCCGGTTTGGCCTTTTCTCTTGCGCCCCTTGTTGGGCTTCTGGTGAGCCGTATCGGCTTTTGACGACGTGCCCAAAAGGCATGCGATAGCCAACAATTTTGTGGCAGGAATGGAACCATTTTGTTCCGCCGTAGAGGCAAATTGATTGTTGATAGAAGCAACAGGAAGCAACAGACCCGCCAGTGGGATAAATGGCTCCTACCAGTGATATAAATGGACCCGCCAGTGGAAATAATAAATTGGCCAGAAAAATAAATGGTGCCAACAATGGAAGAAAAATGGGCAGTTGGCCGTAATATAAAAGGGGATCCTCTAGAG